ACGCCCTCAAAAATATCCGCTTGCAGGGGCCACTCTTACCCGTGCGACAGCATTGTCCGTCACCTGGTGGCCTGGTGCCGATTCGAGTGACACACTCTGTCAAAACATATGTGAGTGATTGGGGCGAGAAGTTCTGGGCCCAACAGAAGCCCTGAATGCTACTGACCGCAGGTTGTCACGCCGTCGTTAACCAGCGGGTATTTGGCAACTAGTTGCTTCATTAGTCGGCGAAACCAAGCTGTGGGTAGTACATCCTAGCTTACATGAAGTGAAACAGTTAAACCAAGCCAGCGGCTGCGACAATCACATGCTTATATCAGATGTTAAGAATTCCCATGACACATGCTCGTGCCTTTGTGGTTTCTCACAAGGCCCGTCTAAAGGCACTCGCTGCACAACCCTGCCATCTCCTTCTGCATTTTCAAGACGAGCTCAGCCATTGCTGTCATCACTCAGGTATGCCAGCGGGTCCTAAATGCATGTCCAGATCTCCAACATGCTTGCACGAGTCTCGACTTACATTCTAGATATCCGCCTTTCAGCATTCCATGCTGTGTCACGGGGGACGCTGGTTCCAAATGCAAAGTGTTGATCCCTGGATCCCCCGCGCTGGCCCCAACTTAAAGCACGGCTGCCGGCCGTTGGAACCGTAGCCGAGTCCTGCGGCCCCAGGCCGCATGGCCCGGATCTCGGCAGGAAAACGACGCATCGCGGGCAAGGTCATGAGATGTGTCATATGAGGCACTACATAATATGGCATGAGGGTTTAGCTGGCCCCGGCAGGGGACAAGCATAATGGATGGCGTCCTAGACTTGGACCCCTGATAATTTTGCACGGGTGTCCTTTCGGCAACCGATATGCTCCGCATTTTTGCATGCTTGACTTGCGTGCTCAGGCCAGGGCTCGCTCTTCTCAGTGGCACGTCGCCTCGGCGTTCAACTTTTGGCAACGTGGAGGTCTAAGTTAGAATGAGTGGATCACTGAACATTCATTTGCAAATCTTTTACGCCCACCCAAGCTGGCAACCTATGCTGGAAACATATCACGTAAAACAAAAGGTAAGACAATGTCAAATAGAAACAGCCACCTTACTTTGGAAAGGGTATGCCAACTGCCCACACCAACAGAAACCAACAAGCGCTGATATGTGGGGGGTAGTCGGGGATAGTCAGGTCATAGATCGGTGACTCGTCAGCTGGCGTGCACAAATAAGAAGCCGACTTCAAGGACTCATCCAGGCGCTCTTGCCACTCTGCCTGACACGTTGCGTGCTGAAATGGCACCTTGCCTGGCCCTAGCTGGCTGCTAGGCAAGCTCTTGCCTGCTTAGCTTCGGAGCTCGAAAGGGATCCGGTGCATTTGGAAAGATTTGTCCGTCGGCGAAGAACTTTCATCGCCACATTCACGCACTGGCAGTTAGGCTGTTTTGGCTCCGAATTTTACCTGGTCCGACGCACACTGCAGCAGCAATATTTTGCCCACCTTGTTTGGAACAACACACCTGAACCACGCTATCCCAACTATCACAGCGTTCGCTTCATAGCGCACCAACTTTCTCTTTTTCCTCGAAGCTTGTACTGAATGACATGAATGTGACTTTTTCTACTTTGTTTCCTCTTTTTTTTGTGCGAGCTTCGCGCTCCAACTGGTGTGTGCGAAAGAAATGTAAGCATGAGCGCAGGCGCGCGTGCTGCACTTGGTTTCCATACTGTTTACGGTGCGATTTGATTGTCCAGCACACAATTTCGCAGATTGACATCTTCTTCTTCCACCCAGAAACTGTTGGCGACAGCTCGCAAGAGCCGCCTTTCAAGAAATTCTGTGGATGATTCCATCGGAGACTAAGGCGCTACAGGCCCCAGAGTGCTGTGAACTGCTCGGTATGAGAGCAGGGATGGTCAAGAGGGCGGGCAAGATGATGCCTGGAGCAACGCCTGAAACATGGTCTGAGCTTTCAGTGCAGCTCACAACTACGATCGCTGGAACAAGCCTGTCTCTGCATTTCTGAGCAAGGCCTAACAAGCGTACAAAGTCTGCAAAACTGCTCTCCTCAATATCCATTGATAACAAACCTTGCTCATGCTAGCGGGGGTTAAAAATTGCTTTGCTGGGCGCTGGTTCGGCCCATATACAATGAGCTATCCGGCCCACCCAGCCTCCATCTCCTTTCCAAATATATTTTGAGTTGTTTGCGTTGCTTACGGATGTTTCAGGCTGGTGAGCGGCTGGTGTGCACAAGGATTTGGGGGGCTTGGTGAGGGCTGCTTGGTCGCTGGCAGGTGTGTGTCTCGGATTTTGGGCTGGATTTGCAAGGGTGGGAAGCTTGCCAGGATTGTTGGCCTGAGTTGGCCTTCCAACCTCGTGGAACCAAGGACTCCTGTCCCCAAGCCAGCCAGCCAGCAAAAAGCAACTGAGCGAGCTGATGCTCAGTGGTGCTCAGCCCAAGAACAAAATGGAACAACAAAACCACACATTCCGCAGCAGGACTACGTGGCTGCCACAGCAACATTGAAGAAGTTGAAACATGTTCACCCAGCACATGGGTGTGTCCTTTTCTCAGGAACCCCAAAACATGTCTTGGGATTTCCCCTAGCTTTGCCTTCAAACCACCGAAACAAAAAGGGGTACCTTCAAAACTAGACATACCCGCATGCTCTGCCCATGCTTTGTCGTGGCCCCGCGGCAACCTGGTCTGATCATCCGAACTGTCCTGTCATTTTGGCATGGACAACTGTATTTGCTGGACCCACCCACTTCGTGAGCACAAGAGACGGGGGCAACAAAAACCTTCACATCACGCCAAACCATAATGGCTGCATCAAACTCAATCCACATCATATAATACAATATCGTATCACATCACACCTATCACACCACGTCATGTAATATCATACCATAGCAGCTGTTTAAGCAGCTGGATGCCCTAGGCCAAAGTTCAAAGCCATGCGCGAGCAAAGCGTCTTTTTACTGCCGACCTTGGCGCGACTTGTCGACTGGAATCGATGCACCGTTTCGCGCAGCATATGCATCCGGCTGTCCACCCCGTGCACCAGCATCGGCTTTGGTCAAAGAGGGCCTCGAAGAACTGAGATTTCTCCTGCACTGAAGAACACGTGTTCTGAAAATTAAGATGAAACTCAAAACAACAACAAAGTAGAGGAATCTCCTTTGGGATCCTATTGGGGAATCCCCTTGGGTTCCATGTTAATTTCCGGGTGCGTAGCTCATTCTCATCATTAGCAGCTGAGCGTTTCGTCGCCGCAAAGTCAACATAAATAGGTTTAACGATGCCCAGTCCGGGAATCAAAGGGTGACCAGCAGAACAAAATAATAGCGCGGGGCTTGCCTCTTCAGGAATCAAGACCCTATTAGCTGCCTTCCGGTCATTCAAAGCCGACGTGGGAATGAGGTCCCAAACTTTGCTCAGCTACTTTGTCCTTACAAGCCAATCGTAGGGACAAAAATAAGGAACTGGAATAACGGTTGGCCAATGGCTCACGCAATAAAAGCCATAGCACTTAGCACTCGTTCGAAGTTGTTTTGGACTCGTAATGCGCTTGTCTGGGCTGCTTAATCTTACTCATGTTTATCGTGCGTGTTCCTTGCCAGGCCAAAACACTTCCCAATGACTTGAACTCGTGTCGTCCCCGAACTTTTCGTTTGGGTGGACCATCTCATCTTACAAATCCCAATGAGGGTCCTCTGACCGCACCAGCGCATAGCAAATCATCCATGAATCAATCGCTTGCCTGCTTGGTTTTGCTGCATGTGCATGGCACGCCTCAACTGAGTGGGAGACCAGAATCGTGAAGCCTGCGTGGCCACCTCATGTTGGGTCAATCCTGAGGCTGCCAGCGGGCGTCAGAATGAGTCAGGGGGTCGTGGCCTCATGCGCCTGCCTCGAAGGGCACCTTTTTTGAGCGAGCGGCGACAGAAAGCGCAAAGTTACTGGTCGGTCAGCGTTGATGAGGTGCAACACATCTTCACGCTGAGATCGCGTAACGTCCTGCCCGTCATTGAGGAAGCAAGGAGATAACTCCAACGCAAGAACATCTGGTCCTGTCCGTTGACATTGGTGATCACATCACCTCATGCCATCAGGCAGGGTCTTGAGCCTTCGAAACCGGAGTTGGGCCGAGGTGAATCAGAACCCGTCAAACCAGCCCGCACCCAAGCGGTTTTGCGGAGGCATGGCCCATCATGCCCATCTATATAATTAGTGCAGCTCTGGCAAATGTCCTACAAATCAGTCCTCTGGAACTCTGCATGCCCCAGTATCCGTGTATGAATGGGCTATGTGCCCTGTTGGCCCCCTCATGAACGCCCTCAAACCCACAAGTGCTTTCAACCAGCACCCCCCCCCCTAACAACTGCTTCTTCCAAGGTCGAAAATACAAAATGCTGTCCAAAAAGCAGTTGGGGGGGTTGTCGCGACATAGGTTTCGCCTGGTCCAAGACTCCTGGCCATGTGTCCGTCCCATGCAACTTGTGAGTGCTCCCTGCGGCCGTGTTGCCCAAGCGCACGCGGCCGCTCGCTTCCGCGGGGCCTGCTTCCGGAGGTCCCGAGTTCTGCACATTTTTGAAGCCTCGGCTCTTGTCAGCTTGGCACGAGCTGGATACAACCGACTTGCAAAAAGTAAGCCAAGGCTTGGGTGAATGCTCGGGTAGGCACGGCCCGTGGGTACAGGGTGCAGCGGGCGGAAATGACTTGCCCGTTTGGATCGTGCGCGGGTGTGCACGTGCCTGCATTGTTTTGACGACTTTTGGGCAACTTGGCCCCGACAAACCAAGGACACAAATCACATCGCGGGAGGTCCGGCTTTGGAAACGCCAAGTGAAAGCCTGGATCTGTAGATTGTCTCTTGCAGCGGAGAACCCACGACTCGAAGTGGCAAATCTTTGCTCACGGTGAGGCCAATCTGCTGATCGTAGATGACCTTGGTGTAACATAGAAAGCTGCGGACTCGCCATTGATAACTCTGATCTGCTTTTACTTTCGCGGGACTCCACTTGAACGCTCTTTTCGGCATACGCCTTTGACCAAAAACATGCCACGGTGTTGTGCGGAACAGCACGCTGAACGAATACAGGTCTCTTGGGGCTCGTACATGCAAATGACAGAAACAAACAGCACGGACGGCCATGCGGGGTGCCAGCTTCTTTTATGCATGCAACTGTAGCTGACCAGCACAGAGATGCCTGCCTTGGAAGGATTCCTCCACTGACGCATTGAGCGCAAGTGGCATGACGCACTTGCTTCTGCAACTAAGCTGAGGATAGCGCAATATCGTAGGAGGTAGCAGGCAAAAGGCATTCCAAGCCAGCGATCAAGTTCGGCTTGTTAGACGCGCTGTCCACATCTCCAACCTTCTCCTGAGCTGCGCATGCTCTTGCACCCAGCCCGCGGTAAGGAAAGAAAAAAGAAACATCTCATGCACAATCCCTCAGTGGTCACCTATGTTGAGCCGTAGGTAAGCATTGACATGGTTGCCTCCTGGTTGGGCCCAAACAAAACCACCTTAGCAATGAGCTTGGCCACAACAAGCCAAAGGGCTCCCAGTAGTTGATTACATCTAAACCCAGAGAATTTCACATTGACGCCAAACGGAAAAGACAGCACACATGCCTCCTCTCAACTTAGCTGTTCGCTTCGAGCCCGAGGGAGCCCTCCATCAAAGCTCAGAATCCATGGCAACAGCCCCATCGCTCTGCAGGCAAAGGTATTTGTCCTTCCCATGCAGCTTTAGAGCGAAACTGTAGGACCTGGGTGTCCGAATGACCCACGCACAACTTGATGCCCTGAAGGTCAGTCGTTCAAGCACTAAGTTCTGGCACAACTCTCGAGTTAGGGACGGAAGTAGCCTATTGAGCCTTTCGAGCGCGAGCGCAAGCTACTCTAAGCCGCAGACTCCGCCTGGCTGCTTTCACCTGATTAGCTTGCAGTGCGACCATGCACCTGCCATGCTGGAGAAAGCTTCACCAAACCTGGGTTCCTCGGCGGCCCATGCACCGCAAGTCTGGGGTGCTGACCGCAGTACAAAGGCCTGCGGCACAAGGCACGAGCCCCCCAGGCTCTTCAAGATGTAAAGCCAGGTGGCTTGTAGGTGAATACGGCCGCATCATCCGCACTCTTGCCTGTGACACTGTGAGGGCACCATGCAATACATCCAGGTGTGAACGAATGAGCAGCGTGCAGCTACAGTACAAGTACTAGGCCGTCATCTTTTGGGAGCCAGCAATGCAATGTTCAATGCATCAGCCATGCTTGGAAGTTACATCATGTCAACCTATGTTTGGGCCGGGCTTGCCTGAGACTTGTAGGCAGTACCAGTCCAACAAGCCCCCCATCTTCACATACTTCCTTAGCAACAAGCCAGGTGGACCGTCATAATCTGCATGAGCTCAGTGCCAATCAGTACCGAAAAACATCCGTCTCGAGCAAATGTCTCTCGTTGATAATGCTGCTGCTGCCGCTGCCTACAAATCTATCATTCGGACAGCACCTGCCAAGCTTCCTGGTCCAGCTTGACCGAAGAACAAATGCATCGCCGATACTTTGCCCGTCGTGACAAGCTCGATGCGAAGCATCTTTGGGTGAGCTACCTAGCATGCTGATACAGGACCTTCTGCGCTTGCGGACTCTCAACCTCCTGCAGCATCAGATCTGTTGGGATGCAATCACTCACCTGCGGACAAGTTGCCCCAAATCGATGACCTCTTGGCCTTCTGCTTTTGGTCTTGCTCTGAGCATCTCTCCACGATAAATCCCATACAATTTCTGTAGCCGGCGTGGTTGTGCATCCACGCCTGTGGGCTGCGTCGAACTGCAAGCCAGCTCAGCTAGCTCTGCCACACGGCAAGCAACAAGCAACCACTCGCCGATTGCACCCCTCAATGAAAGAACATGACAGCTGAATGATGTCAGGTTTTTTTCCGCACGCCTTTGCTCCAAACACTGATCGATCCAGCCTGCCACATCAGACTCTTGCCATGGATGTCCACGAAGAGAATGTTCTGCCCCAGCTTGATGTGTACCAAGGACCCAGTTTCCAAGTGAGGTATGCCCATGCACGGCACGTCCTGTCCAGGGCAGCTCAACAGCATATGGGAGTGAACAAAGCCACTAGATCTCGGAGGTGCCGCACTACAACATGCAACAAACGACCTCAAATTTCAACTCGGCATCAAACGATGAATGCATTGCAAGCGCCGACTCCTCCCAAAACTCGTTCAGCGGTGGATATATCTGCATGGAACGCACTGCTGTTACAGCTTCCGCTGGGGTCCTGAGCTTTTGCAACCAAAGTGCCTTTCTGACTCTGAGCAGTTCCCAGGTCCCACCAACTTCATTCCAAAGCCAGGCCATCACGAATCTGTCTGTGTGCATTCTGCTTTGGCTTCCACCGTGTGCAGTCTGGTCTCTCCGGAGCATTCCGTGGGCTGTTGTCTTGGTCTTGACGCTCCTGGCAGCTGCCACTCTGAGGGGCGAGTTCCGTAACGTAACCTCCCAGCCTCGCAAAAAAAAAGCCCCACTGCACTCACCCATCACGCATCCAGAATTGACCCTTTAAAGATACCCTCGACGAGCAAATCGGCACTCCAGGAGTGAGCGTGGCACTTGGAGTTCTCTTAGCCTCTTGCAATCCTTGTTCAGCTGCTTTAAGCCTTTAGAAACATTGAAATGTTCAACTTGATCCACAAAATTCATACTCTCCCCCAATGACAGGGAACAGGAGAACAGCAACAAGTGGACAAGTCTCAAACCGGAAGTGTGAACGGCCTCCCGGCCGCACTCAGAGGAGTTGTCACCTGAGCCAGGTTCAGCAACTGCATCAAATTAGAGCAAGCGCATGAAAGAAATTCAGGGCCACTCTGCCTTCAACCCCCTTGACAGCCACTGGCCTTCCTTTCTTGCATCTGAGGAGCCGCGTCCTCTGTGATCATCGTCTGCATACTTCTTGGAGCCTCAGTGACACGAACATGGCTAGCGTTCATGGCTATATCGGGGGCTGTGCAGCGTGTGCGCATCCAGCAAGGGCCTAACTGGCAGAAATGCCAGTGGCCAGTCATTCCCAGCGCATTTGCATGTGCAAGCAATGTATAGAGATGCACAGAGCCTTACAAGCTAGTCAAACAAATACTTGTCTCGCCTTCTTTATTCCATGTGGGTGAATTGGTTTTTGAGGGTACTCACTTTTTTGTGGCGTTAAAGGGGAACCAACAAACAACAGTTAGCCATTTTTGGTGTTCCCCTAAGAAAAACATACCCATTTCTTCCCTCCAAATCGGTTTCCAAGCAGCGGCTGTACGATGCCAACTTTGCGCCCCGGGCGGTATCTGCGGCGCGAAGCTTCTGGTTCTCCCTGCGAAGCTTGTCGTTCTCCTCCCGCAGGCGGTCCAGCTCCTGAGACCATTCCTTTTGTTCGCTTGCGCCTCCAGCCTTGTAGCCAAAGGGTCGGTCCAACACGGTTATGCGCAGCTCCCCAAACTCGTTGGCCCTGTGGCCAATTCACATAGGGCCACAACAGGGTCTGGATTTTTGGGATTTGGACCCCAAACCAAACAGGATACCCTCAAAAAAAACAACCCAGTTGCCCAAATTCAGGAATGTTTGCCATCTACTTTCAATATTGGTCATCCATTCATAGAATTCCTTCGGCAAAAGTGGAGCGTTGCAGGCCGAAACATGCTGAAACCCACGTTGACTCACGGAGCTCACAGGGCGCTCACACATGTGCCACTTGGCAGCCTTTTTTTGCTGACGGGCGCTACTTGTGATTGGTGTAACCATGGCCTCAAGTACAGTACGATGGGCTTGGACCAACCCCGTATGAACAAGGATAAGCTTCGCGGTGCCTCTGCCCTCTCGGTGCGCAAGGCCCCGCAAAGGATGTGGGTTGGAGCCAAAATCCGAAGGACCGAATCGTTGCAGAAGGTTACATGTCTTGCTACACGCTTGTGTCTTTCGAACCGTATGAATCCGCGAAGTCACACGTGTGCCAAACACACTTTATCCCTTGGAACTCAGCCCACCCAGGTACCTAAAAACGTCCGCTCAACATGAACCTGCGTGCAAAACGGCGTGAAATTGCTTTAACTTTTCACTTTGTGGCCAGCAACGCCATACAATGCGTAAATCACAATGGCAACGCAACACCCCGGTCTGAGCAATAAAGAAAAACAACGAAAGCAACCATGAACACAAACAAATGCCATAGAACGAAGCTTCATGCAAAGCAGCCTGCAAACATGTAGTACAACATGAAACGAATGCAAAGAAGCTGGATGCAAAGCGATACCGGCAGAAACACGCTTACCAACTGCGCACAGCAACTGTTTCTCAAAGCGCTCACGCCAAACAACTGCGCACCAGGTCTTCACCGCTCGAGCAGTGCCATTGAACAAAGTGACAACCCTTCAGGCGGTGAGCGCCAACATGTACAAAGCAAACAGGCAGGTTACGTTGCTCATGGGAATTTGCAACGCAAAAAGGCCCCCCCCCCTTCAACACCTTCTCATGGAACCTCTGCGCTTGGGTCCCGGGAAGGGGCCGCTGGGTGGGGATCGTTTCGGCCCAGGGTCCATGTGCAGCTTGGCATTCTCCGCGCCCAGGGCCTGCAGTGCCTCCAGGATCTCTGCCGGAGCCTGCGCCTCGATCCGGGTCGCTCGCCCATCCGGCAAGGGAAACGGGTAATGGATTGAACCAAAGCCAAGCCGGGGTGAAGGCGTGTGGCTGAAAATCAACCCGGGTTTGGGCTTTGAGCTGTAGAGCATTTTGGGCTGGGAGACTTCAAGGAGAGGACTGGGGCTGCGGCACTGAAGAATGTGTTGTGCAACTCGGAGAGCCAGTTTCCAGCTCAAAGAGAGGACGAACCAACGACATGCCAGAAGTGAACAAGTCCTCTTCGTAGTTTTAGCCCCCACGCTTTTAGATGAAAGGCATGATGGATCCCTGCAAGATGCAACGGCAGCAGGTGGGAAGCCTGTCCAGCCCAAACACGCCAGGAACATAGAAACTGCAAGTCTAAGCAAGCAGCAAAGCATGCGCCCTGGCAGCTAGCAAGACTCCAGCCCGGACAGGGTCACATTCGAAACCCCTGTCGCGCCCCCCAAAAATGTGCAAAAGCACCTGTGTACTGAACCTGGATGTGGCAGGACCGTCACGCTGTCTTTTGTGTATCACCCACTCCCACCCTCCCCACAAACCAAGCAAGGCTCTTCGGCGAAGGACATTGATACCAACAAGTTGGCAAGTTGGGGGGTTAACGTGGTCGACTGGAAGTTGTGTTCAAAACATGCTAATATTTCCCATGGGCGTCCCAATGCCGACAGGCAAATCGTTGCATCCTTCACCTCCGGAACGCGCCCCGGCCGCCTCGCCCGAGTTTGCGTCGCCCGAATTGGCAGCAGCCGAATTGGCATTGGCAGCTGCAGCCCGCTCCTCCAAACAAATGTAGCCATGGACTGTATTTCAAGCAAGCCTTAAATCCATTGGTGCGACAAGTTGCTTGGGCTGTTGTGATTACATCAGTTTTCTCAGGACATGCATAGGGCTACCCTCAACGTGTGCCACGTGCAGACCATACCCGTTTCGCACAGTTCAGGAGTCGGATCATCGCACATCTTTCCTGGAATACGGGCCGGAGAAGCACTACATTCAGCTGGTTACAAGTTGTGCAGAGCAGCTCCGCTGCTAACCTATCGTGTGTTTTACCGCAAACCGGGTGTAGCCTCCACAAGCATGAGTAAGCAAAACATTGCTTTCCATCAACATGTAACGGTTTCCGCTGTGAGAGAGGTGATGGCACAATTGCTGCGGTGACTCGATAAGCTTTGAGACCTCCAACGCGGAATTTGTTGACAGGCTTTTGCTGGCTCGTAAGTGCCGCCCAGCTTCCTGGGCCTCCAGCTTTGCCTTCAGAGCTTTCCTCAGGCGCCAGCCCTGTACACACTTCCTCTGTTCAACTGTTTCAGCACATGCCATAAGCCATAAGCAGTCAAGGCACACTTGATTCTCCAGCTTGGCCTGGCAATGGTGGTATCAGCTGGACTCTTGCCCTCGCCTATGTAAGTCCCAAAACAAATGCGTAAAAACCTTGTACACTCCTGGCCTGCGGCGGTTTGTTGTAATTTCACAATGGAAGCTGGAACGGGCCAGCCCAGAACTCAAGCGCATCCTTTGACACTCAACACTCAGGCCTGTTCCTTGAACTCGGCCAAGCTTACCTGAAAATGGCGTCGACAAAGCCAGCACCTGCACGCAGGCCCTAGGCCCTTCTAGCGGAACAAATACATGATGACTGTGCATGCACTTGACGTGAGCAAAGTTGATGCCAACTTGCCAACTGGTGCGTGCAAACATGCCTTTTCGATCCTTTTTGGGCGCGCGCACCCACCTAGCTGCCCCTTTCAATACGTGTGTTTCTTCTGCTTCTTGGCGTGGCTGCAAATTCAAGCTGAACTCTTGTGCCCCGGCCTTGCCAGCGCCTGTATGCGGATGGCGGCACCTCGAGCAGATTCCAGCTCCTGTGCAAACAAGCCCTTGGCTTGTCGCATGTTCCCCGTACGCTTGCCTTCTGCTTGGACGGAAAAAAAGTGAAAAAAAGGGGAAAAACCTTGACCATGTAGTTCGATGAGTGGAAGCAAGGTTCGGTTTGATTTTAAGACAGTGCATGGTTTCCAACTGTAGAGGGAATTGCTGGTATTTGCTTGTGATTGATGGACATTGTGTATCTGTGCAGTCTGATGTTGTAGGTATCTCGCATGTGGGGAAATCGTCCTATATCTGTTGGAGATGCTGCATCTGATGTTCTTTCTGCTCCATGAGCCATGAATATGTTGCAATGGGTCGCGGAAACAAGTGCAGTGGAGTGGGCAGGTTGTGCAACACCCTTAAATCCCTTGATTTGCCCCTCTCTTTCCGAAAACATCAAGGTTAATTCCCCCCCCCCTCCCGCAGTCCCCTCACCAAGTCTACTTGCAACTTTCCACGAGGTTGCAAATTGTACCCTCCCACCAACTAACATGGAAGCTGACAAAGGGGTCCTGGAAGACCATGTTCCTTTGACATGGATCCTGTGGTGGGTTCCATGTCAGTGGATGGGAGGGTAGCCTTACTTCTTACTTTTTGTCTGTCACCTCCAAACAACTTCCTCCAATTAGCACTAACCTTCCCGGCCCTTCAGAAAGTCAAACACAAATATACAAGTGTAAGTCACAAAAAGCTGGATGGTCACAACAAGCCTCCAACAAGTCAGCAATCCAGAAACAACAAGTTTGTTTAAACAAGCTCATTAAGTTCACAACGGGTAGCCTCCCTTCAAGGCTAGTCCCCCTCAAGCACCCCCAAGCCTCGGCCAAGAGAACTGCCCAAAACATGTTTGGCATCCACCAGACCCCCACCCAACTAAAAGACATCCCTCTCCACCTGAGATCAACTGTTCATTGAGCTCCAATTGCATGCTACTTTTGGCCGAATCTCCTGGCCGGCGCCTCAGATTCCCATTCTGCATCTCAACATTGCGAGAAGAAGCCAATTCCAAAGCCCATGGCGCCGTGTTCCGCGTCACATTTCAGGGATGCGGTCTTTGCCCATGCCCAGCCTTCATGGCCCGGCGTCGGCGCCACTGCGCCTGTGGCTCAAAGGTGCGAGGCTTGTTCCCAGCCAAAAGCCGGGTGCTACATAGACCCGGTTCCCATGCGGAAGGGCGCCTCTGTTGGAAAGTCCCGAAATAATTACCACACGCTAGCACAAAGAAAGCAAACAACAAAAACAATCATTTGTTTGGGTGGAACCGTTGACTTAGAAGTGGAGTGGCCTCGATGCAGCACTATTTCGCTCCCAAGGTCTTGGTGAGCAACCCTGGTCGCCTATGGCATGGCCTCCCATTGAGGATGGCCCCGGGACCCACGACAGGAACCGAGTGATGGCAACTCTCGCTGCGAAGGGCAGCCAGTGATGCAAATAGGGGCCTCATGGAATGAGGTTGATGGGTTCCTTTTGGCTTCCCTTGAAACCAACACCAAACAGGCACCCTACAAACAAAGGATGCAGCCGAAATAGGGACCCCTTTTCTGGTTGGATTGAAAGGGGATGGCCGCAAAAGCCTCGCTGACAGTTGCCTACTGCGTACAATACCTGTCAGGTGTCAGAAAGGGGAGACCACCTACCCTGAAGACACATCTACACCACACAGGATACCCAGACAAACAGGCCCCCAACACATGCACTTTCTGCAATAATTCCAAAACCGGTGTGTGTGTGTGTGTGTGTGTGTGTGTGTGTGTGTGTGTGTGTGTGTGTGTGTGTGTGTGTGTGTGTGTGTGTGTGTGTGTGTGTGTGTGTGTGTGTGTGTGTGTGTGTGTGTGTGTGTGTGTGTGTGTGTGTGTGTGTGTGTGTGTGTGTGTGTGTGTGTGTGTGTGTGTGTGTGTGTGTGTGTGTGTGTGTGTGTGTTTTGCGCGCATGGTGCCCAACCGGTGTCTATGTTTTCTGTATATATAAAAAAAAAAAGGTTGGCTTCTTTGTGGTTTACTTTTCAAACCCAACCAAAACGGGAGTAAAAAAGGACACATTCCCGCCTGGATCTTCGTGGCAGCGCGCTGGCGCCGGAGCTGGTGTAGCCGCCGCGCAGCCAGAACCGCCCGGCGCCGCGCCTGGCCTCGGAAGCAATATGAAGTTGTCTCCAAATGGCCATGGGTCAAATCCCGGGTAGCCCCCAGTGAACATCCCAATCCCGAGTAAAATAGACTAAAACGGGTGGTGCACCTACCCCAAAATGGTACCATTGGTTTTGACCCAGAGCCAAATACCCTCACACCAATCAACATGGAACCTGCCAGGGGGGCCCTTCTTCCAGCACCCCTCTGTCAGGTTCCATGTTAATTGGTGGGAGGGTAGGTGTCTTTTGTGGGTGCCCTGACCTCAATACGGTTGCATCTGCTGGTGCAGGAGCTTGTCCATCCAAACTAGTCTCTGTCTTCTTTGAGGGCACCTTTTTGTCCACCCAGACTAGGCTTGTGCTTTTTTCGAGGGTACCCTGTTCACCTTCGTTTACAGGGACACTAAAAGAAGGAAAGTCCGATGTTTGACACATGCCCAACTGGTTTCCGGGAACTCGTGAAATTGATACTTGACATTCATGCGGACCCCCCTAAACTAGTGGAGAACATATAAATTGTGGCTTCTTTTAAGCCAAAGGCAATCATTGAGTCATAACCATCTGCACTAAAGGCTATGGTTCGCCAGTTGAACTGAATTATGGATTCCGCAAGTAAATGACCCTCATGGTGACCATAAGCAAATTAGTTGACTTAGATTTCGGGGGTGCTGCTCTAACATGAGCCGTTGCTACGTGTTACCACGATTCAAGCCTTACGGAGAAGAAGCGCTCACACGTTGCTGGCGTTGGCTTTGGGGTGGTGGTACACTCAAAAGTAGCATGTGACATGTAAAACAACTTGGCTTGAGGTAGATAGGAATCACGACGTTGCGCGGAGCATGTTGTGTCTACGTACATCAGAAAAGAAGTATCTGTGTATGTGATTGTTTCTTGCGAAGAAGCTGGCTCGCCTATCTAGCGACTCGGCAATTCGGGAGCAAACATGATCTTCACGGGAAGCAAATACTGCACCCCAGTTAATGTTGCCAATGCTAAATCGCATGCTTGAAATCTAAGTTTCAGCATTGGCAATACTGAATCAAGTACTGAAAATCCCCGATTAACTATTCGCAATACCACCTTTTCGCATTGTCAATACGAACTTGACTAGTGGACATCTACAATAAGACTTGGTATTGACGTCATATCAAAGGTTACATGCAGAGGGGGCTGTGGCAAGAGGTATTGACACGTCGACGGGCCCCCTACCCGCGATGTGTGGGAATGACATGCACCAATGCGTCTGAAGGGATGGGCCCCTGGCAAAGAAGGATGACTCGCCGTATCCGCCGATAAACCTCAGATTGAGAGGTGACTGCGGATTGCATCATGTTGCGCGCCCAAAGGGACAAATGTTCAGCAACCTTGCGCTAGCCACCTAGAAAGAAAGGCCAAGCAGGCGCAAAAGGTCGATCCTTCCTGCGGGACTGTTTCGACAAGGCTCGTTTCTTGCCAGGTTCATCCTCCAGATCGCCTGCACGCGCCTGACACGACAATTCCTTGACACTGGGCGGTCTGGTATTCCAAAAAAAAACTCTATTTTGCAGAACTCGCAGCAATCAGACTGGTTAATACCTAGTGGATGGCACTTGGCCACTATAATAAGCGACGACAACAATCGCCAAGTACTTCTCCACTTCACCACCTGCCCCTTCACGGAATGCTGCAGCAATGTCCCACTCTTACATGCGTAGTGATTCATCGGTGCTGTTGCTGCTGAGTGCACATAGGTTCACATCATGACTTGCTTCAGGCATGTTCTGATGACCTGGGCCTGTCAAGACTTGATGGTTGAGACCCCCTGTACCTGCAACCATTTGCATGATGTATTTACTTAATATGTGAGCAAAGCAAAAGGGATGGCGGCCGGGCCTGGCAATGTGCTGCATGCGCCGGAACAAGCGCTTCGTCTGATGCCCGCGTACCATTCGGCCCAGCCTCGGAGTGCATCTCACTCGGAGTGAGCAAGGCGTTGAATTCACGTGCAGCGACATTTGCAACGTTGTGGCAAAAGGGGGTGCCCTTTTTGAAGGGTTTTTTTAAGGGAAGCCAAACGGAAACTAAACATTTTTAGGGGGTCCCCTGGAGGACAACAAAAAATCAAATGGCTCAGAAATCAGCAGGCAGCCTTTGCCTTTCCTTCCGCGCAGGGAGGTTCAGCAGGAAGCAAACATGGCACATCCAAGCCACTACCCCGATCCCAAGGGCTTCCTTGTCTGCACGGCTTTGCCTGGGACCCTGGCTCCACCGCAGCGGCCTGGATCCTCGGCATCCAAGTTCAAGCCTTCGAAGCTGACGGACCGTTGACGCTTGCCAACAACATGGAACACCCAGTTGCGCCCAACGCGCCAGGCATCATGAGCACACTTGCCCGTGCTTAAAAAGAGAAAAGAAAATGAAGGTGAAAGCTCAAGCAGCGGCAAACGAAGCAGTCCAGAAGCATGTGCAAAAAGCTTTGCCAATAAGATGGTTGCACTGGCACTGCCAAATGGCCGTGCACCTGCGCATCATGAAGGGGCACGGACTGGGAAGTGTGGATTCGGCCCATTTCCACCAAGGCTCAACAGCGCCCTCCTTTCTTCCAGCGACTCAAGCACGCCGGTCTTGAAGTAAACCTAAACCAAGGCGGGCATCCACTCACCCAAAAGACGCCAAATTCCATCAATAGGCATCTGAGCTCAGGCATCCCCAAAAGCGAGAGCCAAGCCTTCATTTTTGCCACAGGTTCCCAAGGGTTCGGGGAAAGCTTAGAAGGTGCTGCCAAAATGCCGGGTCCTGCAGCTCCCAACAATATGCCAAGGCACGCGGGTGCGCCCAACCTGATATTGCTCATCTGCGCCCAGTAAGGATGCCAATAGTTTTCGGCAGTTGGCAACTTCATCCGTGCCCAAGACCTTGGCCGAATCACGCAGCAAACATTTGGTCGCATGGTTTTCCGGCACAATGAATTGATCTGTAACGTATTCATGCATGCCAGTCACACTGACTGAGGCCATGCAATACTCAAGCACACGACACTGGATCGCTTGAGCCGCTCCAAATTGCTAGAGCGGCCCTGTCTCATGCATCGTCACTCCTAGTTCATGCTGGGGCGAGCACGCCCTCCTGACAGCGGCTAGACAACGAGCCCCCTGCCCTCTTTGCTTCGTATGAAGTCTGGAGCATTCGGAATCAAACCCCCAGGCTCCAAGGCTCATTGTGGGCTCCAAGGGGACCCGAGCAATAGCAAACGGTTGCCTTAAGGCATGAGGCCCCAGCCACCGGCGTGCGCAAAGAGAACTGTGCCAAGCGCTTGGAGGAGTAGCTCTGCACCAGCAGGTGGAAGCGCTGGCTGAAGTCCTGGACTCATGGCCCTTCCCCACGAGAAATGTGCAAAGGATTCCACGGTTGGCAAGGGGAGAAAAGGATGTTGGGGGTCCAAGTCCCTGGCAGGAACACCTCCATGGTGGTTGCATTGCAATGTGAATATATCCTCCAAAGGGCCCTCAAATGGAATTCACCCCCATTTTTGGAGGGGTCTCCTGTTGAATGTGGTTCCATTCCAGCTCAGCCACGCCTGTGTGACGTTCCAAAAACTGTTGGTTCAGGGGATGGCGGTGCAGCGCCATGTGTTTGCACGAAATCCTATGCACCGATAGATGGCCGTGACTAGCAACCTGTGCAGAAAGTAAGGGCAAGGGAATAATGGCGTCGCAGCACTTCGGACCACACAACCAGAACGAGCAGTGCAATAGAATGTCCATTCTTGCATGCTTGCTGAGGGTTATTTTGGGTACCTCCAAGTATTTTGTCAGTTGGACCCTGTTGCAAAGAAGGTCAATACGAACGCAGCTGCCAAGGGGACAATCTTCCCAATGAATGGGAGAACCTGAGCAACTCGTTGACCGCAGTGGCATGGCGGTGGAACTTGAAGTGGGCCCAACAAATGGCCGCATGCCCGTGGGAATTGTGGCTGCCGATGCATTCGTGATGGCAACCACTGGAACCGCTACTGCCGGGAGTGCAGCGCACTCCAAAGTTCAGGGCTAAACGCGCCTGACTGCAAGACTGCAAGAATGTGACGGACCTTGCAACCATTCCAGGGTGGAGTGGAACGGACTGGGGTGGGCTGAATAAACCGGGAGTAGACCGGCAGGGCTGGGGGATTGGAGGAATTGGGGGAGAAATTGATTTGAGGTAGAGACTGGAGTCGACTGAGACTGCGCTAGGAGCCCAATCTTCAATTTCGATCGTCTCTGAAAAGTCCCAGCTCACATACCCAACCTTGCGAGGCAACATGCACCGCTCTACTGAATTGCTCCGTGTTTTTCCCAGGGAAACAACCCATCTTAGGATGAGTCGCCAGTCCTTCAGCGGCATCCTGGCAGGAAACCCGGCCCGGGAGATGCGGATGGCCTCGATCACACCGGCGCAGCGCAGCCTGTGGGAGCGAGCAGGGCGGTGTGGACCGCTTTACAACTCGAGGAGTGCGGGGCATTTCGGGATGGTCTTCCAAAACCCTCCTGCCGATTTAACCATGACTGTGGGAAAGGGCACGTGGTCATCCGATATGACCACTCTCGAAACTAGGCTGTCCAACATTTCCCCCCAAACAAATAACAATAACATAAATATTATATATATATATATAAAAGAGCCCAATGAACAAAACATTTGCATTTGGCACAAGGGGTGAGGGAGGGGTCAAGGTAAGCAGATTGGTCAGCCAAGCACTCAGCACCTCATGATGAATTGATACTGAGCAAAGCGTGCAACATTCCCATCAAAATTGCTTCAACCATTTGTTCATTATGTTTAGCTTGGTATACTTCAGGGACATGCAAGGCTTTTGAGTTTGGGTGAGCCCCTCTATCATGTCCCATGCAAATCCAATAACACCGGCCGGCGGCACAGCTCTTCCGACAGCCCCTTGTATGCATGGCTCTTGGGCCCATGGCTGACAAACTACCAACAGGTCCCACAAAAACTGTGCATGCCTGTGCCTGCCCGTGATTGAAGCCTTTGCACATCTGAGTGCTAGCAAGTGTGTGAACAACACAGCTCAACAAGCTATAAAAGAACTCCAAGCTACCAATGAACTAAGTTTATCCCAAGCAGCTGGTCCACAACCATATCCTGAGCTCCAGAAAATTGAGCTCAGAGGCTCAGCACGCACGGCTCTGCATTCACCGAGTTGCGTTGTTGACCTCTGCTGCCGACTTGGTCTGATTTGGCTTGATGCACCTGTCACGTTGAAACATCATTCAAACCGCACAGGCGACACGATTGGGGCGGCTGCGCGCGCCTCACGTATTGGGTACCCGTCTGCCCAATCGTGTCCATCAGCTGTGATAGAGAACTCTTGAACTTGGTGACAACCTTGGCTATGCCAGGATTTGGCGGATGTTTCCGTGACTCCGGACGCTTGCTGCTTCCCCCTTGCCAGTCCCAGTGCCCGTCTTTCCGCAATGAAGGCTAGGTCAATGCGCCCACCTTGCGATTTGATGCCACCATTTCTTGTCAAGGGACCGTATCTCTCTTTCCTTTTGAATCCTCCTGAAACAGAGAGGCCAGCAGTTCATTGCCGGAGCTGCGCATGAGAAAGACCAGGTCCTGGCCGACACTCAAACCCATACCCTCCTGTCCACTAACATGGAACCTGACTGAAGGATCCTGGAAGATCATTTTCTGTTAAAACGCACCGTGAGAAGGAAAAGGCCACATTGACAGGCAACCAAATCTCTTTTGGCCCCTCCTCTGAGACCGCATCATTGTTGCGATCCAGCCAGCCCTCGGACGTGTACATCACCTCAGAAGTCACAAGCTTGCTTGCCAACCCTGGATTTGCTTTTGGACAAGTAGAAATGATTTGAACCAGTCTGAAATCAGTGCCATGGACGTTCAATGATGTTCAGCGGAACTCGACTTCCCGCTTTCGAGCGTGGCGACCGGCGACGCGCCTCGCCAGCATAGTGGCGAATGCTGAATTGGAGCTCGCCTAACATCAATGAAGCTTCTTCAGTCAATTGCTACGTGCTTTGGGACAGTGATGGCGGTGTCTTCAATAGACTATCAGTGGGAAGGTCTCAACAAAAACCCAAGGGAGCAACCACATGCTGCGGCCATGCTCTTCTTTCTGCTTGCAGTGGCGCGTGCATTTGCTTCAAACAAGGAAACAAGAACCTTCAAGCTCATTGAAATTCAAATATGTTGCAGAGAGGCTCATTTGCAAGGGCGCAACCTTACTCATCTAAGGTATAAAAGCCCGGCTAGCGGGCTTGAAGGTTTGCAGGCCGAACATCAGGGCACTTGTTCATCGCTATGCCAAGCGGCGCATCTTCCCTAGTTTTGGTGCTGAAAATGCAGGGTCCTCTTTGTGGACTGACACCAGCTTGGATACAAAGTTCCTGAGCATCGCAACAACGATCATGCTCAGTTTGTTCAATCAAAAGGCAAATTGAGGCAGATGTGAACGTCATAAAAACACTTGCAACGCGTACGCTTGTCAAAGTGGCAAAGCATCGCCTCCACTCAAGGGCATGGCAGCATGGCATGTATATATAGCGGACATCTTAACATATCGCACACGCAATCTCTTTCCTTGCATCTGAGCAACTGGTTCGACCCCTTTGGCCGAACACACTCCTCGTTAAGCATGGCTATGATGCCCAGTTTTGACTCAATCCTGAGCATTGCATTCAGAAAGCACAAAAACTAAACCGGTTTTTCACCTGTATTATTAAGAAAGTTGAAATGGTCCGGATGGCTTCTTGCTAACCGGTCCCGAAGGCATATTCTATGCAAGCAGCAAAGCCAGGATCGGCGCGTTGTCTTTGAATTCAATGCGATCCCAAGGTATGCCCTCCTTAGGCAAGTTCTCAGTGATTCTGATTGTGCAAGGCAAACTGCCCGTCGCGCTGTCATTGACGCAATGCATGTTTTGCTCTGGGAGCGTCCTCAGGTTACACCAATAAGCTTGCTGCCAGAACGCAGCAGTATATTCCTGCTGCACAGCCTTGAAAACATCATGGGTGAACTTCTGCTGCAGCTTTTCATTGGCATAGTTTATGCAAAGCCTCGGCTTTGTCGGTGGCCTAGCAAAGTCGGCGAAAGTCTCGGCCAGTCAGAACGGACAAGCCAGCCACCAAGTTCTCAGCTAGTGTGAAGGCCATTGGTTTAATTGCTGGTCAAAACCTCCAGGCTCAACAAAGATGTCCGTGTAGGAAAGGCTGGAAGGTGTTGCATGAGCCGGGGCACTGCTCGAACCGGTTGATAGCAAAGGACTCAAACCCGAAAATGTCCTCAGTTGCTCGCAGAAACTGACCGAACGGCCGGCAGCCCTATGGCTTCAACAGGCAGGGCTTCAACCGCTTTCCGCAGCGCCTCTTCACATGCGCATGAACAACACGTTCACTGCCACCTGCTTTTGCAACGCTGGTTGAGAACTGCAGGCAGGCACTGGTGCAAATTCTTCAGGCGAGGCTCCAGCAAACCTCACAGCTGCGGGACAAGGGGCCAAGACGCAGCACAGAAAAGTATATCCGTTCTTATGCGCATTGTTGTTTACTCTTGTGAATTCCTACGTTAAAGCGGTTTATGTTTGTGCTGTCTCTTGTGCGCGTACAACTCTCCTCAGGCCCGCCACCCGGTGCACAACTATGCATCAATGCATCACCTTCTACGCCCACACTGCAGTATGCACGTAATGTGTGCATAAGCTCACTTGCCCACGATTGCTTCACAGCATAGCGTGACCGCTCTGCTTGCAATCAAGGTACCTACAAATGTCTTTGCTTGATCCGACGGAGCGCAAGTGGCTATGCAGATCTGCTCGACCAGCCAATCAAACCTGGCGACAGCAAGACAATTGCTGGGAGTTCTTCCCGATTTCAGTGACCCAACTGCACTGCGACTCTGATTTTTGCTTCTGAAAGCATCACAGCTGCTCAGCTGCAGACACTCTGGCATAAACCTCCTTTGCAAGCGCATCACCTTTGCTGGGTAGCATGGCGGCAGCACCACCGCATGCATGCCAACGGCTAGGCAAACCGTCGCGTCATCTAATCAGTGTCAGGCCGAGCGGCGGTTTCCTGTAGCGCTCGAGGGCGGAAGTTGCTTCACCACCGACTCGTTCCGCATCCTGATGGTGCGGTGGGTGAGCGATCGCCTCAAGGATTTCCGGCCGCATGGCAACCTCTCTCTTTCGGAAGCTTGCACAACTCGTGCCCTTCCGGACGCCATGTTTCATGCCAAGTGGCTCCAGCTCTGTGGCCTTCGAATCGCAATGGAAAGCACATGCCCAGAATGAGGCAAGCTCCAGAGCTTGAACAAAACCAAATCCGAAGTGGCCCTGTGTGAAGTATTTGCTGCAGGAATTCCATCCCCAGCTCAGCGGATCGCAAAATCGATTCCTATAACAACTCATCCTTGTGCCGTTTCATAGCTGTCGGTTTGACGTACTTGCAGCTTCTGAGTTGGGTGAAATGATTTTGGAGGCTTGAGTTTTGGTGACTCCCTGTGGCGTTGGATCTGCATCTCTAGTTCCATCATAATCTTCATCACCATCATCCCTAGCACCATCACCATTGCCAACAGCACCAGCACTGCTTCTACGTGCGACTACCATGATCACCACCAACCAGCACCAGCACCGCTACTACCGTCACCACCATCACGAACTTTACCACCCTCGCCACCATCACGGGCAAACTCAGTAATTGCCACTAGACCATCACCAGATCCAGCGCCAGCACTATCATCCCAAATATCTGAATCATCGATCAAAATTCGTGCATGCTCTTGTGTTTGCGTTGGTGCGTAGAAGGCAGTCACAGGGGGCGAGAAAAATCGCACCAGAGCGCAACTGACGCATGCCCTCCCGGCCAGGCCCAGAGACAATCACAAGTGCTTGGCTAAGTGGGTAGCTCATGCCAGAAACAGCTAGGAAATCCTGCTGCATGGCTGTCAACCAGGCACAGTTTAAGGTCCCTTTCAGTCGGAAGGCGAGTCTCAATCACCCTCATTCTGCTGAGGCAGCGTCATGCTTAGTCGGGTTCTCTGTGGAGAGCTGAGTCATTGCAGGGAACTTAGTCTCAAACAGTTGGCCAACACACCCTGCTCTCCCCAAGAGTTGCGAGATTCAAACCGCCCTGTTCGAACATACCCCTGCTGAAGAACTCTAAGAACGTTCCCCCCAAACGAATGCTGCGTGTTTCCAAATCACAGCGGCATTAGTTCCCACCTTCTGAGATACTATGACCAAAATTAAGTAAGTCAGCACATGTTCCCAATTCCAATATTGCAGCCATCAACACCAAGCAGATGAGCCCTCATCTTCGCATAGATGTCTGAAAGTTAGCTCTAGGGAACTCTTACATCCTAGCAAAAAGGAAGATCATTGTCTTCAAAAACAAGGACTCAAAAACAGGCCCATCAACCCCCGCCAAGGCACATCCACCGCGAGCACCTCTGCGGCAGTGGCAGCGGCTTGTTTGGATGCCTCCGTCAAGGCGGAGGCCTCCTCACCTCGGTGCGAACGGTGAGCTTCACCTGGGGTGAGCTTCAGCTGGGGTCGCAAGTCAAACATTGAACGTGTTCACATCCAGGTAGTTGCAGTGTTGCCAGCGTGGATATATTTCCCAGTCTTTCGAGAAGCCCTGATAGGGAGTAAAGCTTAGCTTTGGGCGCTTGTGATCGAGTTTTAACTTCGAGGTGGACAGCACACACAAGTCTTGCCAGGAAAGAAAGGCAAGCCCACGCGTCATGCGAAAGGCACCCAGAATTACCATTGGCCAATCTCAGAACTGCAGCCAAGTCGCTCCCGGCGAATTCCAACCTAGTGCGAGGTGCCCATGCATGCAGGCCTAGAGAAGCCCGAACATAAGATTGTGTGAGCCTTGTTGGCCCAGCCTTTACATAACTCGCGTCTCAACATATAACCCTTCACAGGCCTACACGTCGCGACGCGAACAAAACACAAATCCCTCCCTTACCATCAAATCGGTCTTCTCCTCAAATTTGACACTGAGCAGTGATGGCCATGCTTCCGAATTTTACACAGAAGCGTCAGCAGGGGCCTACAGTCGACAAAAAGTCAAAACGGCTTCCACCTGCGAAAGTGCAATGTGTCGCGAAAGTTGCCCGGCAAACACACACACACACACCCGCAATAAAGGCCGGGCCACGCAGCTAGTGCCAAAGGGCACGAAGCAATAATGGTGCAATACGGTGTGCAAAGCACAAAGCAGCAGCACTCCGAAGCAATAAATTCAGCGGGTGCTTCAAAAGCAACATATTAGGCACAAAGGATCACACATCTTCAGCTAAGCGGCTGTCCCAACAAAAGGACTGCAGCCAATGCTCTCAGCAAGCGCGTGAGCTTTGGGCCATCAATGGCCAGCAAGGCCAGGGCCGATACGGTCCCTGGAAGGCGGCAAAAGCAACGAATGGGTGTGTCGTTGTTTGAAGGTACCCCTTCTTGGCCAGCTTTCGAGGGAAACCAAGGAAAACCATCCATCTCGGGCGATCTCGGGGGGTCCCTAATAAAACCAAAAAAAGAACAGACCTAAAGAGAAACGAGCCCTGAGCCTCTCCCAAAGGATGAATTTCACTTGCGGATCTTTGGCAACCGTTTTCCTGGTTGCATGTTTCACCTTCCCAAACAGGGTTAGCCTAAAGAGCCGTGCCTCCGGGAACCATGACGAAGATCAACCAAAGAAAGCGACCGAACATTCTTGCACCAATGAAACCACGAATCATTGAGACCTGGCTGGCAAGCCTGCGCTTAGTAGGCAAGTCATTTGACAAACTCCAAGGTTCAGTTGTTTGGCCCTATTCGATCTGGGGGTCACTCATTGGAATTGTCCAGTCATTCTAAAACGGCATTCTGAGGGTCGGAGTTCAGTTCATGGTGTGAAGGGCTCGTGGGAAGCAGCAACAGAGTAGAAACATGTTTGCTAACACAATAACACAAAATAGGTGATAGGCGAAAGTAGGCCTTACAGTATTTGGCCCTATAAGCTTCTATCTGCGCCTCTTACGTGGGGTTCCCTTTTGAGGAAAGGGTGGTCAACGAGTGGGAAATTTGAAGGTTCTTGCTAGTAAGGATCAATGGCTTACTGCGGCATGTTATGCAAGGCCCTGTGTTTTGCAAAATGCCTCCCAAATACCAAGTCACTTGAAACAAAAAGAAACTCGGGAAAACATTTCGCAAGTCACTCTCACCATGCCGCAGTGGCTGGCGGCCGGGCAACCGCCACGCTTGCAGTTTCAAGGTGTTGTGCGCAAAGTGGAATCATGCCGTGTTCTAAATCTCCAAACAAACACGCCACAAAGGCGGAAAGGAAAGCACATCCTGAAGATTGCTGAGCACTCTCTCAAAATGATGTAGATATCCCCAAACCCCGAGATGAGTGTTTGCAATACCTTACACTGAAGCACCAAGACCAAACATGCCAAGTACTGCAACCCATGGCTTTTGATTGCAAGGTTCAAAACTTGAAGAAAGATTGTGGCAAAACACAACCTCTAACCATGGACGTACACAGGGAGATGTTGACCATAAATCATCTTGCTCTCGATTTTTGTTGCTTTTGGGAGCCCTGCAAGCGCATCAAGGGCCGCCCCGCCTTGGAATCGCTGGGCATCTGTCTTGCCCTCGATGGTGTCTGTCTTAGAGGCGCCCATGCCTGAGCCGACATGACCCTCAGCAACACGAAGAAGAAAACACACACCTGGTTTGGCGAAAGCACCCAGCAAACGGCAAATCTGACCCAGCAAACGGCGGGTTCTGAAACCAAGTGACCCCAGTCAACAAATCTGATGACAACGGTGATGGGCCAGGTCAAATCTAGACAAATACCAAACTAGCCAGGGACACCGATTCATGAGAGATACCATGACCAAGGTACTGGTATACCGCAAGGAGTCTCGGCACAAAGATGCATCTCCAAGGCCAATAGCTGTCCGGGTTTCGGAGTCAGCCGCCAGCATCTGATAGAAAATGTGGAAGTTCCGCTCCTTGCAGGCCATCGGCTTGACCGGGGCCTTATGCTTTACACCATCTAACCCACCCGCACCAATCAACATGAAACCTTACATGGAGCCCATGTACAAAGGGTGCCATTTTCAACAATAAAAACTCCTTCTGCGCCGTTGGAGACCTGAACGGGTTCTTACTTGCAACACCCGTGCTGCCTATCAAAAAGGCATGAGAGATCCAGAGCTGACAGCTCGCACAATATTGGCTCATGGAAGCTGCGACCTGGACAAGCTAGTTGAGGCAAGCCTCGCCGGAATCCTGGCTTACCTCAGCACCGTGCTCAAAGTTCAACTCAAACTCTTGCAGGGATGATTGCACAAAAGAAAGCATACTCAGCTGAACTTATTGCTGCTTGGTCACCACGCGCGACTTCTCCAAAAGATAGGTTCGACATTTTGAGCCTGTCTGCGCAGCTGACGGTTCCGAGAATGGGCTTGGAGCCGCAGTTGGGCCAACTGATAAACGCGGAGAGGTCCGCAAAACGCGTCCCTCGCTATTTATGCGTTCTGTGACCCACCATTTTGGACAGCCCATGTACGGCAACAGCCAGATCGTGGGCTTTTTCCTTGCGTGGAAGCCTGGGCCCCTGCCCCCAACCCCGAGGTTGCCAGTGGAAAAGCCATTCGGAGCCTTCCAGCCGGCACTCGCTGTTCAGCTGCAGCTCAATGAACTTCCCAAACCGACTGGAGTTATCGTTGCGCACCTTAGGCCGTGACCAGGAATTTGCGGTTGGAGCTGCATTGGGATGCTTCCTTGCGGCCATTTCTGGACCTAGCTCCACACCATCCGATTCTTCGGCAAAAGCCATGCAAACACCCTGGCATCGAAACATGGCATACCGAAGTCTTGCAGCCCCCTGAATTCACACAATATGTTCTCAGACAAGCTTTCATTCAGAAGCACTTGTTCTGTTCTTCTAAGGTTGTTTTTGCTAGCAAATCAGCTGAAGAAGGGTTCTGGACAATAGGGGAAACGTGCAGTAAATGCTGGATCCGGCGAGTTTAAACCTACAAACATGCTAGTTTGTGGTAAGTTTAGGCAGGTTGAGGGTTGGCAAAGAGTGGAATTAGGGTTGTTCAGTGTGCGGGAAGGGCTTGGGCAGTAGTGATGTGACTAGTTTTTGGAGGGTTTCAGGTTTGGGGTTGGTTTAGGTGTTTACCTTGGTTTAGGATTGGGTTATGGTGGGTTTAGGGCTGGTTTACGTTAAATATTGCGTTGGTGTGGGGTGGGTTGGTTAAGGTGCGTTGGGGTGGCAGGGTCAGTTTCGGGTTCATTTGCTTGCTAGGGTGAACAATTCAAGAGTAAACACAAACAATCGGGGGAAACAACTTCCTGAAGAACATAAACATGGGCCTCCAGGTTGCCTGTCACACATGCAACTTGCGAAAACAAGATCTCCAGTCAACCAAATACTATCCGGCAGGGCAAGCCTGATTTGATTGTGTATACCAAAAGCTTTGGCAGACCAAAGGCCCACCTTCATTGCCTAAGCCCAGGGCTGTTTGCGCATTGCCAAAGGACTCCAGCAAAGGGTTGGACTCTACGATGCGTCGAATGTGCGACGCGTCCTCGATGCAAAGAGATAAGAGGGGAATGCATCGCTCACAAGCGGCGCATCAGCACCCAAAACCAAGTCACCAGACTCTTTTGACGGTCAATGCCAAGGTAGGTTTGTCTCACGGTAGCGATGCGACCGCCGCACAATTGTGAACCGTCTCATGCTTTGCGGCCTGGCGGGATTTTGGGATGTTCGCAGCAGCTAACACGCAGGGAGCCCAATGCGCTGTGGCCAAGCTCCCAAACTCAAGCTGGGCGAAGCCATCTGCTGTCTGAGCTTCGTCTGAAGAAGCCTGAGCTGACATATCCCCCTGTTAGCCACCAGTGTACCCTGCATCGGGACATGCTGAGGTCGTTTCACGCAGCATCTTGCCACCAAAGAGCCATGAAAGCCAAATGAGCCATCAAAATCCTTGGCTGTGCGGCATCCGATGCGAACCTGGCTGCCTAGCTCCCGCAGCAAAGAAGGCCACGTCCGGCCCGGCTTTAGCAGGGTGGTCATGGAAAAGCCGAGTTTCTTCACTGTCTCGGTCTTGCCCGCGCCGGACTCGCCAGAGACCAATATCGTCTGATTGGACTTTGATTCTTGCAATCCTGGTGACACACAAGCATATAAGCCTTCTCAAAAGCAGGTTGTGAGCGTGCGTCAGGCATTCTCCCCGCAAAGATGCCAGGATACTTGAAGATCGTGGCAACGTCAACTTGGCACAACAGACCATCAGTTGACCTGCCCTTTTTGCTTCCTGAATATGCCAGTGACGACGTTGTGTACCTCAATGTCAGATTACCTTGCCTTGTCCTTGCCTTGTCCATGCCTTTCTTCTCAAATGTACACTTGCCGGTTCAAGTCGCACAAAAGCAGTTGCATCCAAGTGTCACGTGGGGGTCAAGCTTTGCCCGGTCATACACCAAATACTCTTTCCGCATCTCATCCGTATACAGTTGAGGAAACCATCCTTGGATGCATCCAATGTCTTGCGGTGCCTTCAAGCCCCAGGCATGACCTACGACGTCGCCCAACTCCTGACTCGCAAGCATCGCCCAAGCACTCAGCACGCGACAGTTGCAATGGGATCAGTTCAGGTGACTTTGTGCAGCGAAGCGGCGGTACGGATTCATGGCTATAACAATATCTGCAGTGTACGTGTATGGGCACGCCTCAGGTTTCCGGGGTTCACGGAGCCTACCAAGGCTCTCTCTCTCTCTCTCTCGCCCCGTTTTGTCACTGGCAGCTCTCACAGAGCCATGCGACGAGATACGCACCGGCCATGGGTTGACCTGTGCTGCTTGGACCCTCCTGAGTTCAAGCATGAGTCAAAGATGTAGCGATGTAGAAGCTAATTGGCAAGAACCAGCGCGGCATTCTTCGCCACTAATGCAGGCTAAAGGCCCGAACACAATTAAGCAAGCAAGTAAAACTCCTCACATCTGCTGTGAACAATCAAGCTGACAGTTTGAGGGGCCGACGCTTGGAGCCTTTCGCCCAATAATTATCTATGCCATCTGTCATGTGCACGGGCCTTTCGCAAAGCCACCTTGCCCTGACGACACCGAGCCGCTCTGTGAAACAATTCGCCGTGGTAGGATCATGGGGCATCAGCTGAACATGGTGCTCATGGATCAGGTAACGGCTTTGAATGTTCTGGTTGCGCACGACTCCTACAACTCACATTCAGTGCCCTAGTGTCCGTCGTCGAAACTTGAAAGGTCCCTGTGAAGGCCAGTGCGCGCGCACCAGCCGCACTCGAATTTGCGCAAAAGCAAAGCTGAGGTCGCTTTGCTCAGTGGTCGCTTCGGCTTCACTTCTTGACCCACAAGTCGCCATCACCCCAGCTGATCAACGTCTCTGGCCCAAAGAACGGGCGTCCAAAGTGAAGCTGGTTCTCCAGATCAATGACCAAGGCACCTGAAGCTTGGAAAGCCATCATCGCTTGGCCAGGTTTGACACAAATGAAACACGCAGACCTGGGTCTTGCTGGTTTCACGGCCCCGAACACCATCGAAAAGAGCTGTGACAGGTTTGGACACAAAGCCGGCATTCCCTTCGTAGTTCAGGCAAAGAGTCCAGAGAGGTCCTCAGAAATCGGCGAGATAACCTCCTTGAACTGCCACCGTGGGTTCCACACAAAGTATGCCTTACGCCGGGTTACAAATTCAACCTGCTACGTGCTGGCACATAGAATGTGTACCGGCTGCCTCTGGTTGTTTATAGTCATGCCTGCACACATACACTCACAGTACTCCCTTTCCAGGGTAAATGTAATGGGGCAGGTTTAACTTTGAAGAAATAATAAAGCAAGACTTCAAGCCTCGCTGCTCCAGAGATGTCACCAACTGGTTGGCCATCCTCTTTGCGGTACCACTTGCCCTGCAACATGTCAAGAAGCGTCCGACCTTGCTGAGAGGGGCCTGCAATCGCGGCTCCAGGCCGACCTGTGCGCGTCGCGGTTTGGTTTCGCTTTTTACGAGATCCAAAGGCAACTTGCTCCATTGCTCAGCAGCTTCCCTAGAGAAGCCTGTGGCTCCGGAGGCAAAGCCAGAGGCAAAGTTCTAACAAGCAGTGACTACCTATGCTGTTGGGACTCATAAGGCTTCTTGTGCCGCCTGACCCGCTACCTTAAGGAGTCGGCTGACGGCCGACTCCAATCGCCCCATCTGGTCTGCACGCGCTGCTTGATTTTTCAGATCGGTGAGTCATGATGGGTGATTCGGAATTGCAATTCTGCCGATTCTGCCACCCAGATTAGAAGCTGAGCAAGCACTGTGGACTCCGAAGGGCCATCCATAGAACCCAAGACCACAGGCACCGCAAGTCAGAAGCCATTTTTCTGCCACAACGAAGCCCTGACCCAGCCATCCCGACGCCAACACGGACCCACTAACCCACTGACCCACTCACCCATCCAAACAAACGCCCAAGCAAGCGCTTCAACCAAGCAACCCTTACCGCCAATTTGCTTGTTCAAAACACCCTTTGTAAAGGAATAGCCTCAACCAGCAAAAACCTATCCCCACAACAAATCAAATCAGACCGGGTCAAAACCAAAACACTGTGGACTCTGCCCAGCCTTGTGGCTGAACATCGTCGCTCCACGGTTTGGCAACAACCTCCTGACACGCATTCGTCAGGCTGAAAACTCTGGCCAACAATATAGTAAGGATGAAACATATTGCCATTGGTTGGTCCTGGCAGGTGGCACAGCTTTTCTTTGCCAATTCACAAGGAATTGCGGTGTCTAAGGCTTCTTGGTGCCTTTGCCAATGTGATTGCCGCTTCTTGGGAACCACCTTGCTAGGACGACTATTGCAGCAGGGTTCAACTCGCAAGCACGGCTAACAAGGTTTCTCAAGGAGAGTACTTGCTGGCTGCAATAAGCCCGCCTCTGACCCCTTGAAATTTGAGCAGTTGGAGGGAGCATCTCACAGATCTTGCCCAGGGTACAGTAGGCTCTCAGTCTCCCGGCTCCTCTGGAGAGGCATCCCCTTGTACTTCGCCTTCTGGGTCACACGCTTCACAGCAGCGCGTCGACGATGCTCCCATGGCGAGTACTTACCGCTTCCCTGTGGGCTACGACTCCCCACTCCCAAGCATGTAAAAGTTCCACAGCGCCGAACTGTGTGTGCAGCGTCTGCCTTGCTTTGGCATGGTTGGCTGTCTGCCTGCATTATGATTGACAGCGTCCCGATGCAACAGTTCCTCCGAACATGCGTGAGCGAGCCATGTTTTTCTTTGCCTGGGTTTGCACCTATCTGCTGAGCAAATCGGAGGGCGCTGATGAGCCACAAACTCGAGTCGGCACTGCGACTCAGTAAGAAGCACTTCTCCTCTCACTGGCCAACCCAGGTCAATCACAAGAGTTGACAGAAGCAGCACGTGTCAGATTGCATCAAATCTCAGCCAGGCGGCTTGAGAAAAAAAGCGCCGCCGCAAGTTGTGCAGCAATGCCGGCTCATGCAGGTGATCTAGACTGGTCATATCCTCAGGCATGCCAACTAAGCTTCCACTGGCATCAATGCAATTTGGCCTGAGGCTTGCACTGGGAAGCCATTGTCCGGCATGTCTGCATTCTGGAACGGCAGCGTGCCACCATCCATATTGGAGGCATCCACCTCGCATGCCGTCAAATCTATGTAATCTAGACATGACAAAGGAGAAAGCACACACACGTTCAACTTTTGACCAGTGGTCATCCAGCGAAACTGATTGTGCATTGTCCGCCTGGGTGCTGCCGCTTGAGGGATCTTCCTCCCAGCCATCCAGGCCAACCTGCCAGCTTCACACCGCGGTCTAGCGCTTCAGGCAGCTGTTTGTACTAGTAGCTGCTCCGGAACTTCACCGCAAGTCTCAAAGAATTAATGTTCTCTGCCCCAAAAAAGCCGCGCTACAGACTGCTTGAATTTTCCAACCGTTGGCATGCGGGCGCCTCGTACCTGCCACTGCCAAGAGCAGCTTGGACTGTGGCTCTCTGCCAGGAACCCCTGAGAGCGCTGGCATCTGCGGAGTCTGCTGCAAATCCAAACGCCCTTCTCTCCCTCTGACTTGGAACCTGAGTGAACAGTCCTGAAAGACTAGTTTCTTTTGCAGGGCCTGGTTCCATGTTGGACAGGCGTCTCATCAGCACCTAAACAATATCGGTTTCCAGGGTTGGCACTAGCATGCAACTTGGGCTCTATGGCTCTAGCCCGTCCCCAAATCGAGCCCTGGAGGCAGGCCTCGCATCTTGCACATAGACTTTTGCCCCCTCCATCTGCTTCAAGCCATGGGATATCGATAGAAACCGAAGATGCTCAAATTGGTCTCGAGTTCATGCTTCGTGGAAAAGGGACTTGTGTGCTGCGCCGAAGGGTCCAAAGCGTCACAAGCTTCTGCTTTTGGTGGAACTGGCATCCACCAGGGTGACTGCGTGGCAAGAGAGGTTTGAGTAAGCCTAGGTGCCGACTTCAAAGGCTAGTGGCTTGCTATCAACAAGTTCCGGAAGACAGAATAGCTTGCGGCTTCAGGTGCTTTCAATCGGCAACTTCCAAACCAAGTGCTGGATGGAAACTAACTCTATACGTATGTGTATGCATATGTATATATATATATACCAGCAGAGAACCAGGACTGGACGTTGTCGTGCTTCCTCACATTGGAACGGGCTCAAACAGTGCCAGTCGTTTAGCATTTTACGACAACAACTCATGGCCTCCGTCCTGAAAGCCGAAATGCAGCAGGTAGATGCAAATAGAAAGTGATCATGTCAAGTTGCAGCTTTCTTTGGCTGTGCGAACCGCATCTAAAGATAAGTTAACCCGTCGTGGTGATCCTTCCGAGCCAATCAGCCAGAGCTCTCATTACCGTATTTATAGCTGACTTGCAGTACTGTGGCTTCTGCCATCGAGTAAGTTTCTTGTGCCGTTCAAACGTTTACGAGTTTACATTGGCACTGACACCAAACAGTAACATCACATTCTGCAAAGGCCGGCCCCCCCCAAACAAAAAAAAAACGCAGGCTTGAGCACCTTGAGTTTGTAGATTTCACAGGTCCCAGAAAATGCTTCCCAGATCTTGCCAGGCCTTTCCGACGTTCCCAAAGTCAGGAGAAGGCATCGCAGAGACTCCTGCCTTGCGCTTTGCTGCCTCCTCCCTCCGGGCTTCTTCCGCCTGAAGCTGCGCCTGTCACGGAGAAGGGTGGCGAAGCCCCAGCGAGTGCCTCGTTCCGAAGGCCATGGCCTCTTTACAGCACACCTGGATGCAACAATTGCGAAGAGCTCCACACGAGGATTCGGACGCCTGGTCCTCTGGCACATCGCTTGACAACTCGTTTATATAGGTTCTCACAGAGTCATGACACCATGCCCAACAATGTCTTGCGCTCCACCGAACCATGCCGTCAAGAGGCTGGTTCGCTCACAAAGCCAGGACAACACGCCTAGCAATGTCACTCTTCCCCGAACCGTGCCGTACAACCGACGAATCGGAATATGACTATATTCATGCATAATTACTGGAGAAAGCCCGCTTAAGCTGAATTGTACAGCTTCTGTTCGAACATCATGCAAAAAACACGGCACATATGATGCACAACTCCCAAAGAACTCTACCGCCTTATGCGGAGCAACTTCCTGATTGTCCCCTCCCCAAATCTTGCCTGTCTTTCTTCTTCTAGACAGCCTGCAGCTGAGCCTCAAGAAAGCATAGCCCTTCCTGGTTTGCAGAATTCTCCTGTAGAAAACACAGGGCAATTCGCCAATGAAAAGCTTGGGGCATCACTTGGACTTTCCAAGGAGCAGGCATCCGCGATGCCACAAAGTGCCGTTCCGGGTGGAATGTCAAGCGCGCTTAACATCACTAACCATGGGAATGATTGAAATCACACTAGAGAAACCACATGCTAAACTCCTTAATGAGAGGCTGGTGGAAATGTGTTGCTTTCCCTCCACACGCAGTTGCAACTTCAAAATGGAAACTCTTTCTCGCCCTCCAACATGCTTGTCCGAGAAACTCAGGCAGTCCACGCTTTGCATGCCTGGTCACCAGCCAGGACAAGGACAAACCACCTTCTCTGAAGCACCCTGGCAACATCACTCTCCCGTAGGCCTTTGCAGAAGTCAGCATAGGGAACAACCCTCGACTCATTCAGCTGCACGAGTTGCGCATCCAATTGTTTGTCTATCGCAGTTGTCAAGTCCCTGCGGGAAGCAGAACTGCCAATTATTAGGCAGTCGAGTACCAAGAAAGAGGGAAACAATGACTTACGAAATTCCCCTCTGCAGCCAAGCGGTGGAGCAATGGGGTGAGAACCATGTTGGGGCAGGCACAAAGCTAAGCGCCGGCCGCTATGAGACGCTCCGGCGCCATGTGGTTCATGAGCCGAACACGCTCTTGCGCAAGCTGCTAAAGCCCGCCGAGGCTATCTGCCAAGGCTAGCCTCTTTCAAAGACATGGCTTGCAAATGGGGCACCGCTGCCCACACAAATCCACTTCCGCTATTCTCACCATGGCAAGAATGACCCCCTCAAGGGGGCAAATTTTGGCAGGGCGCCGCGAAAAGGCGCAAAACCAAGTACTTGGCTCACAGCGACGCGGTGGTGCCCGTGTCTCTTTGAGCATCACCGCGCCGCATGCGGCAACTTTCGGTCTCACAGGTTGGCTGTGGGATTGAGTGGTGGGACCTTCAGCGAGCTGCGAGCGGACTGCTTCGCATGTGCATGAAACACGTGATGGTTTCAACAGTGACCTAGTTGCTTCACCGCAAAGGGCAAAATGGGAACTGCAAACATCGCGATCCGCAACTCGGATTCACTCATGAAGCCGAAAATGCAGAATGATTGCAAGCGACAGAACTGCCACTGATGCATTGCATTGCATAAACAGGAATCAAAGAAAGAACGGTTGCCTGTTTTCCAGAAATTATCTCGCTACAACTGTTCAGAGTTGCTCTGTGTCAGGCCTCCTTCACAGGTGATCATTCATCACCGCAAGTCACAAACGGCAGAGTGAGTGACTACATAGTACGACGTTACTTACACCGCTCAGCTGCCTGACTTCAACGCTGAGCAAGAGACAAGTAAAAACTAAACATTTGCTGACCTTGTGCTCCCGTTGTAAGCGCGCATGGCTTTGCAAACTGCGCGCCTCTGCGGCAACACGACGCTGGGCTTAGAACGTTGATAGAGCATACTGTTCGGGAGCACACTGTCAACGTCATGGCGTAGCTGCAAGCTAAACCAGGCCGCCAGCCTGCTGCAAGAACAGAGTTACCTGATGCTCACTCGTGGCATCCAGTTCCATGGGAACTACTCCGGAAGTGTCATTGCAGCCATGCAAAGGGCGTAGCTGCCAGCAAGATAATCACCATAAGCGTAAAGGGAAGATTCAGCACGCAACATGCTTGGCCTGCATTCCCCAAATTCTAACCAGACTGTCTTGTCCCGTTCTGAATAACTGCCAAATGGTCAAAACGCCGTCTATTCGCAATGAACCATTAATTGGTGCTTCAAGCAGCGAGAGCTAGTCTGACATTTTTGGGTTGAAAAAGAGGCGCTCACCAGGCCAAGATCTGGGCACTGTCGCTCTACGCCCCTGTCAGAATTTTTGCATGATCTCCTGCACACGGAGGCTGCGCTTGACGTATCGGCCTTCATCTCAAGAATCCGGAGGCGAGACAAGACAATTTCCAGACGGCTTAAAAGGAACGATATGACCAACAGTCTGGATTATTAATGTCATTTCACTTTCACTCCTGTGTCATGTCCTTCCTTTTCCTTGTCTAGCTTAGAGGTTTTCCTAGGGCCAGCAGATGATGTAGGATGGTGAAGGCTGGACAGGGAAGAGAATCGCCTGTAAGCCTGAGAGTTAATCCGTTGGCTTCTTGAACCAACTGCAGGCCAGTGAAAGAGAGATGGAGATAATGCTGGAGCAAAGGATGAATGAGGAAAAGTTTAGAAACATACCAAATGATTCAAATGATAGACAAATATAACCAGAACTCATACTATTAGAGCACAATGTCAACTGTCGGTCAACTCGCTCTTGGACAAGCTGATGAATGAGAGGTGCGAAAGTATAATCCTGGATGAACTGGTTGATGGCGGGATACACCTTCCTTGGCAGGTAATTCTGTATCCTTCACACACCGTGATATGCCTTCCCAGAGTTTACAGTTAGGCCGCCGGCCTGGAAGGGACTCACAAAAAGTCCATCTATAAAAACATGGAAAGTTATAGAGTCTGCACAGTAGGCCGGAAGCCTTGACAAAGAACACTGAACACACAGTGCGTGAGTTTGGGAATGCCCCAGTTGTTCACGTTGCCTTTGTTCCTGATGCTTCCCACAAACAAGGGGCTGCTTGCACATCCTGGGTTCCTCATATGCAAATACACGCAGCTCCCGATCGAAGGCAACAAGCTGGATCCATCAAAGTGATATCCTCAAAAACTTACTACTCTGAGGTTGGCTTCTGGGAAACGACACGAAACTACTCTGGACTCAAAAGGTTGGTTTCTGGGAAACGACCCCGAAAAGTAATAACGACCTTTGTTAAGACACCTTCAAAATAAATGCTCACTCGGCCCAAAGAAACGCAATCCGAGGCCTCTCCTTAAAGCGGTCGGCCTGCCAATGATTGGGGCATTGCTTCCGCTTGCGCATGCCTGGCAGGCACTCCAAAGATGACATCTCGCGCTGCATGGCTTTGTAAGGGCAACACCAAGACTATGTTTGACTTGTGCAATCAGGGTACCCTCACTTGAGACGCGGGCCGGAAGCTGGCCCTGCTTTAAACCGGTCCCTCTTTTGTAGGTACCCCCCCCTAGAAAACTAGTTGACAATCACCTGCTCGTGTGTTCACACGCAAAATGTAACCCGGGCCCATTCCAGAAGCCTGGCCAATTGACAGTAAGCCAACCGTGCCTATGTGCACTATTTATACATATATACATGCGCGTGTACTCATGTGTTGGCTGAAAACAGTTCGCCCCCCCCGCCCCCCACACCCGAGCAAACTCGTCAACCTCACAAACTTGGAGTTCTCCGAGTGCTAGGGCTGCCTATATAAAGACACCGCCTTCGCTTGTTACCTGCCAATACCTGTCGGTCTGGGAACTGGCCCCGGGCCCTTGCACACGCGAAGGGTCAGCTGAGAATAGCTGAGCCTGCTGGACATTCCCGGCCTGTCTGGGCTAGCACCGCGCGGTCCAAGTCCTAGCCAGGCCAGCTGCGCACGGGGAGTGGAACCAATTGAGCAGGCATATGCTTGCGCATATTTACTCATGAATTTACATGTTGATGTGTTCTTTCTGCGCGCGATACTTAACCTAACATTTTATACACATCTAAATTATCAAAATTTATGGTATTTTCCCTGATCGTCGTGGCTGTCAGGCTTGCGTCTTGTACAGGCCATACGGCCAATCGAAGGTGCATGATACCTGATATGTCGCCGCACCGACGAGGATGTTGCGAAGACCATCAAAGTGTCACAGCTGCTTGCTACATCTACATCTGTTTGTCAGATCTGTTTGTCCCATCTGTCTGTAAAAGGCTCTATCACGGCTGTCTGTCACAGGTTCTATCACTTCTGTCTGCCAGATCTGTCTATCACATCTGTCTGTCACAGGCGCTCTGACCGAAATTTACCAGCCCAAGTTTGACACGCTCTTGCACGGTCCACTCTGCCATGAATTCAGCCAGATTACAAGAGCAACGATTGCTTTTGCGAACAAAACGTAACATTGCAAGCATTTACTCTTATAAAGGGGCCTCGGTCTTGGGTAGGCCCCCGTCGGTTTTCAGGGTTTATGATAGGTTTTGGAGCTTATGAGCTAAGTGATGTCGCGCCGAATACAACCGCAGTCATTCAATAACATTGTCGGGTACTTATATAATTCGAGAGAGAGATGTGTGTGTGTGTGCGTGTGTTTCAACAAAGCTTCGCCCCAACACAACTAGAGCAAGAATACCCAACAATATGTTTGAGAGGCGGTCCTACGAACAGCTGTAGACGACATATGAAAAGCTCCGCAGGAGGTAACCTGGGTGAATATATTAAATTTGGACAGATTTCTGCACCCCTGTGGAGAGCTAACTTGTTCGGAGCCGAAGTAGCAACTTCTTCCGTCTTCGTGCGAACTTAGCACCGTTGTTCATTGACAAAACGAGGAACTAAAACAAATGAAACACCGGCACCAACTCCCTACACCAAGAAGCAGCCCACACCAGCATTGCAACATTGTGCCCGCGCTCATCACGAAGCGCCCAGCTGCGACTTCCTCATTAATCTTATCTTGCCCGCTGTGCTGGCAATTTTAAAGAGTGACATGTTCGTCTCTTAATGAGACCCCTCAATCACATGCATGGGGTTCCGCGGTCAATACCTTCAGGCAATAAAGTCTATCTTCTCTGTGGTTTCCTGGGGGTGCAAGGAATCCCCTTGTATGCCCAGCTTTCAACGCCCAAATTTTGCTCAAATCAGAGCTTCCAATCTGCAAAAGGCCGCTCCTCGGGCTTTGCGGCTTCGAGGGCTTGGAAAGCAGCCTTCATCTCTTCCTCGGCCCAGGAGCCATCTCTCAACCCCAAAGTCAACCTTTGCGTCTGGCTATGTGGGGGCCTCCTGGACTCTTCGCTCAGCGAATCCTCTGGACAAATCCCAAAATGTTCAGACAATAATTTAATCGGGACCTTCCAGACAAAGGGGTAGGACAACGAAACTCTGCACACATGATGTCCAATGTGAGCCCAAGCTTGTAAAACCAGAATCCTGCAAACAACTACTGGGGCAAAGTTGCAACTGTCAGCCACGAGCCAAGGTTTATATTGAGTTTAGCTTAGCAAATCAATGACATGCATACACGTCACGCTGTGTGTCAAATTCGTCCACGTGCAGTTGTAACCCTGGCATATTGAAAAATAGTTGTTGCTCTGTCAAGCCGAAAAGGAGGCAAACTGATGTTTAACTCAACATGTTCTGGTTGCTGCATGTTTGTGTAGGGCTTGTTGCTCCAAGCATGCGTTGTGACTTTGTCTGCAAACGCTTCTCTGTAAACATCAAATCATCACTAAAATGTAGGCCGTCCTACACCTGCCTGCATCGCTTGTTGGCCCGTTCCCATTTCTTACGGCGGAATGTTTTGGGTGCTGAACATGACTTCAGCAAAGAGGCGGCATCATCACCTGCGGCCTTGAGGATATTCATTGCATTGTTCCAGGCATCCTGGTTGATCTTGGTGCCTTCAAGGCCTGGAAGCATGGAGCAGGTTTGCTGATGATTGCTTGAGCACCTCTTCAACCAGCTGCGCAATGGCCAGAGGTAATGTTCCCTTGTGCGCAAAGGCGCTCCTCCCATACGCAAGGTCAGACTGGCAAGCTGGCAACAGCTAAGCTCCTTCATTGAAAGATCTTGAAGGTAGCTCCTTCACCGCGCCTGTAAGAGCAGCATGCCCGGAAGCATTTTTGATGTTGGGATCCGCTCCAGCATCGAGAAGCATCTTGGACTGGAAGTACATGTCCTGAGCGCTGCACACTGCCAGCACGTTGCAAAACTCTTCCCTCTCAATCCGCGATCAGGCTTCCAGCAGGTCAAAGCACGATTTGACTAGATCCTTGTGAGCTAAGCCCGTCCGAGAAAAACAAGAAAGCTCGGTCACCGTGGCAAGCGACATACTCCACGCTCATGTGGAGTGCAGTCTGGCCGTTGCCGTTCTGGGCGTTGGCATCAGCACCTCCCAAGTACGGAACTCTGGCGCAAACGGGGCTCTACATTGGAGCCAACACCCGCAGGCCAAGCAAAGCCGGAGCCAAGCACAGCAACGTTGCAGGCAAAGAGGCGAGCAAGGCAAGGCAAGGCAAGGCAATCAGCAGCACTGAGCAAGAAGCGCTAAGGAAAGCAAGCAGCGCAAATACTTTGTAACCGCATTGCTGCTGGGCTAGCCTGGGATTTTTCTGCCAGATCCTGCTGCTTATCGCAGGGGCTACCTCTGACTTTGCCGCTGGGGACTAGTTGGAAAAGGACCAACTATGCAAATTCACGCAAAACACACCGTTCTCTATTTAAGTTGGTCAAAACACTCCTGGTCACTGGCCCTGCAATTAACTGGATCAACTGCTTTTCCCAGGCAAAAGGGGGTGCCACGTAGCTCTTGAGTCGCGCTGGCGCACGTCGGTGAACAGCCGTATTGAGCCAAATGGGCCAGCGGGGCAGCCAAGTGGCGCTGCTCAAGGATGTACTTCGTCAAAGACATATGCCCGTTCTGCGCAGCGATGTGCAAAGCCCGGTTGCCATTGACGGGATCCAAAGCCTCAACACACAGGTGGATTGGGCAGGGGTGGAAGCCCAAACACGTTCTCACACTCTGAGAAACCAGCACGTTCTTCTTCTCCAATCAGGTTCCGGAGGCTGCAAACGCCGCCAGGCAACAGAAGTATAACAAATAGAAGTGATGCAAAAAGCGAGTGCTTTGAGGAGATGGGCATGCGAGAACATCGGAGACGTCCCGTCTCCCTCAACGTCACATTTCCTGGGAAGTTTGCTTGGCATCAACTTAGCACCGTTGCCGAGGTGGATGGCCGAGAAAACAGCTGTCAAATCAAGGCGCTTCAAAGGCTTCCAATCCCCAAGCGACAATAATTCTGCAAAGTGACTGCGAGTGCATCTGCCATAGTCGACCCATCGCCCCATTCCTTGACAACCTGCACACGCCAGCAGCTCAAATTGCTAGGAGGTTTTTCTGCAGGGAGCTGATAGTGCCTCATTTTTCAGATCGACTCTGAGTTGGTGCACAGCTCCCCAACAAACAACGAACAACATAACAGTATAAGAGTCACAGGATGACACGCGCGGCGGCGCAGGGTACGCCTAAGCATCGGGTTTATCTACATTTGTCTAGAAGAAGCTCCGGACAAATCTCACTCCCTGTCCCAGTGGTAGCAACTGGTCCAATACCAATTCCCCGCCTGTTCAATTTCTGGCACAGCTTTGCCCCACCGGAAGGCGGAGTGCACCTGCGTGAAGGCAAACGCCACACCAGTTTTGCCCAATAGCTGGCGCTATTGGTCCATGGGATGTGGGCCATTTGCTGTACTCAGCTGTTCCGTGACCTGGAAAGAAAAGGGAACCCTTTTTGGGTAAAACCATTTTTACTGGGGCAGCCACAAAAAAGAGGGAAACAGGGTGCCACTGAACAACTGAGTGTAGACTGCCACCTTTTTGTATTTCATCGCCGCGAAACCCGAGTTGCCCTTTTTGCATCCTGCCTGCTTGACCTGCTTGTCATCCAACGTCTTGGTGGCCTTTGGAGCGGCACTCCTTGTCACGACCAACGGCCAGCGGACCGGATGCACATCTAAAACGTCTAAAAGCACATCAACATGTTGCCGCTCTATGGAGCATATTTGGCATGATGCACAACTACCCTTGTTTGATTCTCTGCATGGATGGTTTGGTGGCACGAGGTGAAACAATGCTTGAGTGACAATTACATACAGCATGAGCTATCTCCAGAAGTTAAAAATGCAAACATGGAATATCTCTGGCGGCTGGTTTAAAGGGTCGCCATCGTTTTGCAGGGGGTTTCACCCTGTTGCTGGGCTTCGTTTCTAAGGGGCACATTGCAAAATGATCTGATCACGGCGCTGTGGCTATTGAGACAAACCTCACATCCAAAGAATGCGACTAGTCAAGGCTTACATTTTTTAGGCTCTCTTGCTGCCTATGTTTGCAACGCAGCCAAGAAACTCTGCTGCAGTTGTAGCCAAGCTGTTGGGCTCTTTCTCTTTCACACCTGGCCCAGGTCTGGCGAAGCCGCGATTCGTAGAGGTGCTGAAGATCCATCACCCATCCGCGAGACGTGAATGATTCAAGCCGTCCTTTGCTGCGTCGTTCCCAATGGATGTTGAGAACCCGTTGGCCCCAACAAATTTACTACAAGATGGCAAACGAAAACAAACTAAGCGAGCGCGCGCTCTTGGAAATGCGGGCAAACACAAAGCAGGGAGCAAAGCAACGAGGCTTCTGGAATCACGCCCAAGCAAAAGTACGAGCTCAAATAAACAAGGTATCCGAATCGCTTGCAAACACCCTCGTGCGAAAGGTGTCAGGCTTCCGAGGAAGCAACGAGTGGCTGAAGAGCGGCCCCCCTGCTGTTCCATGATCCCAGAGCCTTGTTGCTCTGCTGCTTCATGGTTTGCCGACATATTTCTCATTCTTCTGCAAACCATCCATTCCAAACGCACCAAGCTGACAGGCCTTCATGAAAGCAACCGTCCAAGCGTTACATATTTCAAACAGGTCCATCCTTCCAATTTCAAATGCCGATCTTGAGGAACCCTTCAGACTACACGTTGACCAACCCGACGGCTGCCGGACCTGCGGATTCCTCAGCTTTGGAGATGGCTTCGTCCAGGTCTGCCTTCTCCTTGTCCCCCTTTCCTGCCCACGAGCGGCGGGCACGATCTTTCTATATAATAGGCGACTTCACTTAAGGATGTCATTGGGAAATGGGAGTGCCGCTTGGCCGGCACGAGTGTGAAGTCTTTGTTTGGCCTTAGATGTGATTGAAACTGACATGCGAAATTGCAAACTCTGATCACCTTCAAACACCCATATCAAACCTTTCATTGTTTCTTTGCTGTGTGTTGTTTGGTTGGTTGGCTTGTTCGTTTGATTTGTTTTCGTCTGTTTGCCTCTGTGAATGTGTTTGTTTGCTTATTTGTTTGTTTGCTTGTTTGCTCGTTCGTTCGTTTCTTTGCTTTCATTTGTTTGTTCGTTCGATTGCTTGGTTTTGTGTGTGCTTGCCTTTCTGTCTGCCAATCTTTCTGTTTCTTTGTTTGCTTCTTCCGAACAAGCCGGCTACCCTGCTACCCGTCATAGTTGCACAATGGATGGCGTAGACTAGTAGGGCAAGTAACCCTGCTGCCTTTCCGTACTTTAGCGCCGTTGCCGGTCGTCTTCGTCCATGCAATTTTCCGCAGCGTTGCCTAGTGTGTCCATGCAGCCTTGGGGCCCTGGGGAGCATGGCTTGCAGCGCGGGAAGAAGCGTGGTGTGTCTTAGGTGGGGGCGTCGTTGGAAATAAAATATTTGCTACTGTATATTGGAGGTCCTTCAAAGAACGATGAGCAACGGGTGCATTCAGTGAGTGGGTATAAAAGGTCAAAACAACAGAAATAACCTTAATTCCGAGCTTCGGAGGCAAACTTTCGACCAAAGTGCCACTTGCGGTTTGTCCTACTTGCGTTTATGCACACTACTGTGGATGTGCAAGATCGTGCGTCAATTGGATGAAACAATGCAAGGATCAGTCAATTTTTAACTGGTGCAGGATTTTATCCCACGGTGCTGTCTGCGTCAGCCACTTTCTGCCCATTCGCTGCGCCTGGCTTGCTGCAGCTGCTCAGGAGGCCGCTGACTCGCTGCTTCTGATCAGAAGGCCAGGCGGCAAACACTGAGAGGAGGTCCTCGTCCGTGGCATCCTGCCCCAAATCATGAGCTCGTGGCTCTCAACCTGATGTTGAAAAACGTAAATATAAATAAATATATATATATATATGTCATGTGTTATAAGCATGTACCGTCTCACTCTCTCTCTCTCTCTTGTTCTCCCCCTCTCTCTCTCTCTCTCTTGCCGCTTCTCTTGACGCTGTGGTTTTCAGTTTTCGGCAATTGACTGTAGATGATACGTGAGCCACTGCCTAATTCAGTTACCAAGCCAATACTCCCGGGTGGAAATGAATGCGGCGTCAGCCCCTCCTGCAAGCACAAGGCTTCGCTGCTATAACGTGACACTGTACCTCTCGCAAAAAACGCTTTTCCTGCAAAGGCTTCCGCCACGAATCTGCGAAAAAACGGAATCAACTTTTTGCGCACGAGCGCCATACACAAGCATCCTTTCCCAGCTCCATCTCGTGTTGCTGCAACAGTTCAGTAAAAGCGAGTACGCAGAGTACACGACTGCTAAGTACAAGCCTCTTACGCCAATCACACACGTCCAGCTCTAGCTGGGAAGTCGCAACCTTTCAGTACAGTTGCAGCAGGCCTTTTTGCAACCATTTGACAGCTACCGCGCGAGGACGCAGCCCTTGGTTTTGGGCCCCCAAACAGACGCGCAATCTGACAGCTTTCCCGGGCAGTTGTTGGCGGCATTGCTTCTTGAAGAAGTTCCTTTTGCATTGCCAAGGGCCTTTGCGCGGACCTCACCTCAAAACGAGTCAGAGGAAGTGCCGCTACTGCTGCTACTTCATTTGCAGACATTCTGGCTTCTCGACGCTGCAACCCAAAGGGTAACTATTGTTTGCCAGTCTGCCAAGTATTGTTGTGGCATCGTGCCTTTGCACTCGAGCATCCGCGCAGCAGGTTCGGGCCTTGTTTGCTGCAACTTTTGGCCAGAACGGCTGGCAGTGGCGCCCTGCCCTAATGTGTACGAAAGCGTACATCCAACGTCCGGAGGCCACATTTGCAGTGTACATTGTGATGTTGGCAGGGCGCACAGGGTTCGCACCGCCAAAGTGCTGCGGAGGTTCGGGTTGAACTGTGCAAGTTTGGGCTCAGGTGTATCCGCCGAAGACATACAGTGATTATCCGCTTTTTCGCAGCGCGGAATCCTTGCGGAACCGGAAGCTCGGTGGAATGAGCTGGCGCGATTTGGTGGCCAAAGTTTTGCCACAATTTGTGCGCTACTGCGGTGCGGGCGCAGCACTGGTAGCAGTGTTAAGCCTGTGGGCCCTGCCCGCAATGTGCACCATAGGCTTAGCTTCAAAGCACGGGCTTTTCTAGGGCCCTCACATAGTCTGTCGAGTCACTGAATTTAGCAACACAATGATGATGTTGCACTGCTGTTGTAGGGCGGTTCCTCCCATCAACCGCATGCGCGCTGGCTGTTTCAAGAAGCTTGTGTCATGCCTTCGGCTGCATGAATTTTCTGAACGCCCTGACTGACGGGCTTTAGAATTGCTCCCGAGGCGACCAACGAACATAACATGATATGACATGGTTTGGTGGTTGGCTTGCCAAACTTGAGGCCTGGCCTGGCTGCATACGAATAGCCAAGCCGCAGCTGACCCTGACAGTGTTGGAATGTGTAAATGTAATATGCTTTTGCAAACTCTCTTTGATGGACTGCTTGACTGACAGTTCAATAGAACAGGGCTCAATAACAATATTTCTCGTAGAAGCCTGCACCTCAACCGGGCCAGCTGGTTGCTTTCAAGATTTAGTGCTGAGCCAGGACTGCAAAAACCGACAGCAGATCTCCTGGACGGCAACACACACCCCCTTGCAAGCGCCAGAGCCCATGCCGAATTGAGGCTCAAGGGCAAGGCTGCTGATTGCCGGAATTGCTGCGAGCCAACGTTGCAGAAAGGCATGGTTCCTATGCCAAGGCGAATGCACACGCAAGTGTCGTGCCGTTTTGAATGGCCTAGTTGGCTGCAACCTTCAAAATGACTCTCAAGCCTGCACTTCTCAGGGAAAGCTGACTGAGCAGGTGGCACAAAGATGCATTCTCCAACCTGTGTCACTGAAGGCCGGCCAGGTCAAGCATAGCAACAACCAATATCGAGACAATCAAACTGTTACTTGCAAGTTGCTAAACCGTAGGCCGCACAACTAACCAGAGACCAAGTAGTTGTCCAGGCTGGGCTTCCAAACGTAGCCGACGTCGCCACCTCATCGATGTTAGGCTCTGCCTTTCGGGAGCTGTGTGGATCGTGGATGTCGGCCACACTTTGCTGGCTTGGGTTGGGCGTGGATAGGGTAGGTAGGGTTGCGTCAGTTGGCGTGTTGGGTTGGGTTGGGGGGTGGGAGTTGCTTTGGCTTGGCTTAGGGTTGGTTTTGAGGAAGTTCGGAGTGAAGTTTGGGCTTAGGGTTGATTAAAGCTGGTTTGGGATTGATTTACGGTGGGTTTCAGGGTTTCAGGGTTGACTCAGGGCTGGTTCACAGTGGGAATCAGGTTGGTGTGGGGTTAGGGTCAGAGTGAACCAAGGGATCTGCGAACCACAGAATCAAGAAACTAGAGATTCGCTTCTGATCCTGAACTTAGTTCAGGTCTGATCACTTGCATCCCTGTTCCTTTCGCCCCTTCAGTTGTGAGTCAAGAACATTACACGCGTGGATGGCTCATGTTGACGGTGGAAGCCGCAGTGCTTTTGCTTGCAGGGCCAACCAAAACACTTGAAACAACACTCCTCAAGCCTTCGCAAATTCAAGCCCTCAGAAAGCTGTTCTGCTTGGATGTCTGTGTCCGCCTCTTCTACCACTCGCAAGTCTGAGCAAGAAGCCCCGCTCACCTTTTCAGACAAAGCAGCCACGTCCGCAAGCAAACAACTGAGCACATTGGCCATTTGCCGGAATGTGGCGCCCACAAAGTAGTGAGGCATGCATGCCTCCAGCGCAAGAGGGGTCTCTCAGCTAGCAGGTATTTTCGCAACAAGGCTGCGCTTCTAGACAATGCCAGGCTGGGCAAAAACTAGCCTCTGTCAGCGAACCGGAGAAGGAAAACATCCATTTCTGCACATGTCAGCTCTCGAATCAGGTCAACAAATGCGATTTTGGCAGAGGCTCCTGGAATTGTATGCCCTCCTGGCATTATGGCCAGAGGTGTTGGAGCCAATCGACTAGTTGTCAATGCTACTCTCCTGAACTGTACCATAGTTCGTCTCCGGCGTGGTCAGGGTCTCCTTTCCTCAGGATGTTGAACACACTAAGGGCATACTTGTTGAAGGTTGGGCCCCCAACAAGTTGTTGGTTTGCTTTTGGTGCCCTTCAAAAACCAGCATATTGGTACCCTCAAACGACATCGATAAATGCTTTAAGCTGCAAACCTAGGAGCCTCACAAGTCAAACACCACCCCGAGTTTTGTGCCCAAAGTGCCGGACACTTCCCGGGAAGGCGTTCTCCTGGAAACCTGTTGACCCCCCAACCCCTCCCCCACTCCAAAAAAATCAATGGCAAGCGCTGCGAAATCAGAGAGCACAACACGCTGAGGCGCTCGGCACAGCACTTGATTCGCATGCGCAAGTCCAACACTTGTCGGTTCTGGATGGTGGTTATGCTCCATCTGGCTCTACCCTGGCAATTGCCTTGTCAATATTTAGTTTGTCTGCAACAATTATTTGCTCCCTGAGAGCCCCTCGAAGAGGAATGTTGTCAAAACAGTCGTGGCGACGCACAAGTCACAAACCCTTTTGCTAGAAGTACAGTGGGTGCTGTGAGATAGCAAATCCCATCCGTCAAAGATCATCTACTAGAAACAAGCGGGTGCCATGCGAACGCTTCGCCAAAAAGTATGCCACCAAAGGTATATCATTGGAGAATCGCAAAACAACGATACTGCAGCCTCGTGTCCTTCTTCGAGAGTGTTGTCAGTTTTCCAGCGCATGTCAGTAATGAAGTGGCGAGTTCCTCAGCTCAAGTGTGTCAAACAGCGGGGCTCAGGGATGCCACATCACGCATGCAACCCCGCTGGGGCTATGATTTTAGCCCGCAGGCCCGAGGTGACACACCGGCATTGCAACGCGTGCAGCCAGGCAGCTTTGGAAGAGGTCGCAGAAGAAATAGGCGGAAACTCCCCTCGCGGCTGCGCGACTTGAAATGGCCACTGATAGAGGCATCAATTTGGGAAGCTTTCGGGCACGCCACTCTGGCTTCCAACTACCTTGCCAAATATATGATTAAATCCTGCGCTCGCGGTCCGCAGCTAGAGATTGACAGCAAGTAAGTTGAACACCGTGCGCACAAAGTCAGACATGCCGTACAACTACATCGCTACAAGCTGCCCTGTCAAAGCAGCTACTTGCAACTTGTGACAGCATTGACCCAAAAAGGCTCGGGCTTCAAAAATACGCAAGGAAGACTAGGTAGCTGAAGGAATGGCGTTCTTCTTGTTTCTCTGCAAACCCAAGCACATTAAACTCTGAAGCCATCCGCGCTTTGCATCACCGTTCTCTTGGCATCCTGGCACACCTTCGATCCCAATCGAAAATGCAGCCAATGAACGCGCCGCACAGGTTAAGCAGGATCATCATCTTCGACAGGAGGTCCATGTGGCTGAACTTCCCTGTATAGTCCACATTGCCGTAGGCTTCGAAGAACCCTCCGCCCACGAGCATACTTAGTGCCAGGACCGCCGGCAACATACGCAGCCATTGCGGGACGTGTGAACACCTATGAACTGGCATGGAGACGAACAACAATAGATGCAACCTGTCTCGGTATATCTTGGTATACACCCTCTCAGAGTCTCAGAGACTCCCTGAACCGAAACCAAACAGTTTCCAAAAGCTTGCGGATGTCGCATGCCGAAGATTTGCGCAACAACGCCGAGCAACTCGTTGCTTGGGTGACTGACAACATAAGCATTGTTTGCAACACCAACAATTTATGTCAGTGGCAGCCATAACAAAATGAAACACAGAACATCTCTGCACACGTTCTCACTCGCCGAGGAGCCCCAGGCTTCCAGAGACTGTGAACACCTCGCGTAAGCGGCGCGAGCCAGCTGGAAACCAAATTCTGGGCCGCTGTGTGGAGGCTTTTGTTTGCCAACCAACTGGAAATTGTTGGCCCTAAAAAATGCATCCTTGCCCGATGTTTGCACTATGTGGCACAACATTCAAGCATCGCACTAGCAAGCAGTTCTGGAATAGCTGCAGCTTTGCCAGGGAAAGCACCCCAACGAACAAATCAGCTCAAGCAAGGACGTGTTGGCCTGTGAGCATTTCAATTGTTTGCAGCTTTGGATCTCTCAAAGATATCTCCAACGTACCACATCGCTCCAAGGCAGGACGTGCAAAACCAGCATTGCAAAACGTTTGCTTGATGCCTTGAGCCCAAAACGATACCATAAGCTGAGCCCACTCCATATACAAGTGGGGGTCCATGCTAAGACCGACATGGGGGGAACTAGGGCGCAGCTTCCAGCCGTGTCACTGTGCTGATGGCGGCTTGCATGCGCCCTTGCTCATCTTCCCCAACCAGCCGGCTCTTGAGACCGGCCACGGCTGGAAGTGCGAAAGCCATGGGACCTGCGGGCGCCGTTATGACACATGGGTGTGGGTCAACATTAAATCACCATGCAAGGGTTCCATTTTGGCTACCTATTCTTGACTCACAGCCACATGAGGACAGCAGCATGGAGCTACACAACGTCAACACACAGCTGATGAAATGACCTCTACGTCAGGAACCCTTTGGGAAGGAGAAGCAAACCATGCTTCGCTATCCCAGCTCTGCCTGCACAGACTGCAGCGTTGGCAAAGGCCTGCCGGCTGCTAGAAACATGTGGTGGCTAACGAACCCGCAGCACGAAATAGCAACAATCCGAAGGCTCGACCTATACTGCCTTCTGTCCAAGCCCTGAAAGGGGAACAACCACTTTCCAATCCTGAACGATGGCAGCCTCGTATGCTACTATCAGAAACGGGTCGCCGGCATCGTTTCTACAGAATCACTCAATCCAGCACGCCCCTTGCCACCCTCGCAAGTGGCATAAGCCATGGACCATTCAAGTTAGGCATCCCCCCCACCAACAACAACTTACCTACCCGCCAAACGCACCATAACCACACAATGCATGGCGCACGCACAACGCACAGAACAACACCTACAACACCGCGAAACACCTCGCATCTGACTGACAGTGAAACATTGCCCCCAGGAAAATGGCATATTTTGAGGAGGCAACACCGTGGAAAAGGGCGGCTGGTGCATGTGCGTTAGCGAGAACAGCGCATACAGCGCCAAGGCTGGCCTTGGGCCACCTGTGCGCCTCAAACCGCTAACCAGAGGAAGTAGACAGAAAAAAAGAGGACGGCCAAGGGAAGGCCGGCGACCGAGGCCAAAGGAAGCCATCAAAGCCGCGGACGTGGCTGACGCCATGCTGCCGCCAACGGCAGCAAGCTCAGCGCGCCGACGCGGCAGCGCTGAGCATGAAAGCCACCGGCGGAAGGTCGCTGGGTCGACAGCTCCACGAGCAGCAGCCGGCGCAGCCAAGGAAGCTGCCAATTCCCTTTGCTCCGGACCGGGGGCTCTCCCAAGAGCATCGCAAAGCGCGCAACAGCAGGCAAGTCAACAAAGCAGGACTTCGACCAGCTGGGGCGGGAATGTTTGGCAGTGGATGAAGGGGGCTGGAGTTGCGGGCCTGAGCCTGCGTCGGTGGCTCTGCACCAGAAGCCGCAGAAGCAGCCCGGTAAAGGGCGGCCGCAAGTGGGGTGGACCTCATGGCGGGTAGAAAATCCGCGGCTGCAAACGGGGTCGCCCCGGTAGGCCAATGCTGGCTCATGCTGGCCTCCGTCGC